TTTGTGTCTGTCTGTCTTGTCTCTTCCCGGCTCAGTTATCCTTAGCTTAGCTTAGGTATGGATAGTTAGTGTCTACCCCCTGGACAGGGCCCTTAGTGCTACACCCCCGCCAAGCTCGGCAGCCCCCGCCGCTCGACCAACGGGTCGTATGACGCGGAACAGACTCGTCGGGCGCTGTCGCTCTGTGCTAGCAGCAATTGAGCAGCGTAGGGTTCTTTTTTATTTTTCATTTGTTCTTGTTTCCATGGTCTATATATCGCTTGCCCCGTCTGACCATTCTCTGTTTCTGGAAGCATAGCCATCGATATCTGAATAACATCACAGTCCTCTCACACCACGCAACGACCTCTCTCTCTATCTCATCTACAGCAGCATCTCGTCTCACTCACACACACACACCCTCGGCGAGTAATAGACATATCCACACGCCCCGAGCAGCAAAGATACAATACCATACAATATCACCACCTCAGCCCTTCAAGCACCACCATCAGTCAACCATCGACTCTGCGAAACCTCACAATGGCCGACATATCATTCGACTACTTTGACCATCCCCAGAACAAACAGGTATGTTTTGTCGGTCCTTTTTACCCTACAGCACAACGAACCTTACCTCACTCTAAACCCTGGCCCCAAAAGAACCCTTGTCTGGGGCATTTTGCTTCGTTTATATGGCACATGTTTCCCCTCCTTCGTCTGCCCCCTCACCTCACCTCACCTCATCTCAGCCCACTCTGCCCAATTCGAGTTACTCGACTCAACAACATCTACAATCTGTCAATCAATCTCATCTTTATATCAAGACTCTCTCACCACAACTCACCCCATTTACTCTCTTACTCTACCATCTCATACAAGCTCATCTCATTGCTCATCGTCTTGATCACTCTAACATTCACCTCAGCACCTTGTTCCTACATCCTTCTACGACCCTGCAGACTTCAGCGGTGACTCGGCCCATTCTCCCGACTCACCACTCTCGCCCGTCTTCAACAACCCTTATCAGCTCCCCGTCTCCAACGACTGGGTCAACTGGGACGACAAGGCTACGCTATCACCTGATCTCGACGCCCTCCCCAAGCAAGAGCCCTTTGAAGGCATCAACCTCTCCACCATCCCATCACGGAACAGCATGGAGCTCAGCCCCGCCATCAACCCACACGACCTCTCTGGCACCATCCCCGATGCCGTCCCCTTCGGCAGAGTTGGCCTGAATGACATCGACACTCAGCCTCTCTTCCAGACTCCCATCCCCTCCATCTCTTCTCAACCTCCTCATCTTCAGTCCAACATGATGCACTCTACCTCCAACCCATCTCAGATGTCCTCCTCTCTCGACAGCATCAACTCCAAGGATGCCAACGGTCGATATCCCTCCCGCAAGCGCAAGTCCTCTGGTTCCGGAAGCTCTTCCTCCCGCTCATCCACCTCTCCTCCTCCCGCGACGCGTCGCCACTGCTCTCCTCCCAAGAAGACAGCCCACAACATGATCGAGAAGCGATACCGCACCAACCTCAACGACAAGATCGCCGCCCTTCGCGACTCCGTCCCCGCTCTGCGCGTCATGGTCCACCGTCTCGAGCAGCCCTGCACCGAGAACATGGAAGAGGACGCCGACGAGGATCTCGGCGGTCTCGCACCAGCACACAAGCTCAACAAGGCCACCATCCTCAGCAAAGCGACCGAGTACATCGCGCATCTCGAGAAGAAGAACAAGAGCCTCGCCCGGGAGAACAGCCAGCTACGGAATCGCGTTGAGGGCTTCGAGATGATGGTCATGTCGCGAGATCAGGGACCCCCAGCAGGAGTCTGGGCATAGAAAGCAGAGACATAGAATTGTGTGCTTTACTTTTACTTTGTTGCGATATTATTGCTTGGATCGGCACAACTGGAAACGCAATGCTTCGAGCTTGTGTGATGAATCATGATATCAGGCGTTTACTTCTGGCGTTCAAGACATGGGTTGGGAAAGGCATTGTGTTATTTCGGCGCATTGAGCGGACATTCTGCCATCATATGGGCTTCTACATAAAACGCAGGAATGGTTCCTGGATAGTATAAACAATCTCCAATACATCTAATGTCCTCTTCGATTTTGCTCTCTCCCAGTGACACTTTGCCCACTTTGCGACGCCTCTGATTGACTTTGACTCACGATGGTGCAAGTTGTTCAACAATTCACATGCGTTTGAGCCTCACCTTCGCTTGCTGGCCTCGTGGGTCCGTCCATGCAGGGACTTTAACGAGGGACGGGGTGTATGTGAGATGAACACGTGCATATCAGGCGTGACATCGGTAGATGGAGAACGAGAAACTGACGTGGCGTGATAGGCATCAGGCCACCATGGGTCGGTGGCTCAGACGGTTTGGTGGCTGATGAGGAATAGAAACGGGTGATGATGGTAAGAAGAGTAGCGGTAAATATCGTTGAGAGGATGATATAGAGTGAAGTGGTATGTTATGGGATGGTGAAGAATCGTGGTTGGGTTGGGGGTTGAGGGAGTTGGTAGGTGTCATGATGAGGATTGGGTGAAGTTATGATGGGGTCAATGACGACGAGAGGGGAAGCTGGCTGTAGCATTTTGACTAGTGAGTCTGTTCTACTAGGGTGGCTCAGCCATAAGGGTGACTGTTTGCTAAGCTCAAGTTGACGGAGTTGAGAGTTGTCATGATGAAGGGGCCAGGAGGTGAGACTTGAGCGTTGAGCGTTGAGCGTTGCTACAAGAGTCAGGCTAGTGTAGAACGAATATACCTTAGCGTGGGGCCTTTGATACTCAATTAACCATGTTAATTAAATTGCCTATACAGCGTTCAAAGCCGTATTGAGGTTAATTTTGTGTCAATTGCCTGGAGCGCAGAACATATAAGTGGCCTAACCTGGACAACAAGTGGAGGCTTGATAACCTATACCAAGCATGAGTATCCATAGGTACAACCTCGAAACGTCGCAACCATTACCATATCACGTCCGAACTACAAGACAGTATGTTAGACAGGAGAGAGTGACACAGAATATGATAGGTTATAATGATACGGCCTAATGCTACTACCTAGGTCGCTGCCATCAACTGAAGCCCCTGCGCGGTTGATGGATGGGCCTCGTCTATACATCAGTTGCCTTGTGAAATGTCACGATTAAGCTTAAACCAGATCCATATTCTGGCTACTACCAAACAGATCAATAGAACCACTTGGCTCTGAAACCTTCCATTACACTAACAGTAAATGGCAAGCCGACAGAGGAGGCATCAAGCAGCACCACTATTACTCCCAGGGGCAACAGTTCACACACACTAGTCATAGATGAAAGCGTTCAAAGCAACAAGGTCATACATTCTAGAGGCTTCACTGCTGAGGCGAATCACTTCTTCCTCAAGGTAACGGACCAAAGCCTTCGTGGCCAGGGATAACTACGGAGTTTAGCCAACAATTCCCTGAGCGAGAACGTTCGCAAGGGTGTCTTCAGGTGCAATATTCCACGAAACTCAAGAAACGCAACAGACATGGAGGAAAAGCCTGTTAGACAAGCTTATATGTATTAGAATTACAGAACAAGCATAATATGTGGTCTTGCACTATTGCTCCGTCCTGGCAGCTGTATTATTTGTGCGAGCGATTGGATCCACGAATGCTGCTAATCTGATCCTGCAAGACGAGTATATGCACCCCAACTCCATTTCGGTAAACTCTCCACTCTAGACAAGGACTGTTACTTGTAAAATCTGTCGATCAATCTATTCGTAGCCTGCGCGGTCTTTTATACGGAATCGAAGAGTGGGTGCCGTAAGAGCTCCTTGTCAGTAACCGTAGATGCATCTGTGTCAAGAGCCGCAATCTTGATGCTGACGAACCTTGTATGCTTCTGTCGCTAGGCTGAAGTAGAGAGCTCTTGTGGGCGCGTAGATGATAGTAGTTGGCAATTAGAAACAGAATAGTTCATAACAGAGGCTTCTACGATTTGCCAGCCTGTTCTCGTGTCATATTCTCTCTCTAAGCCAGCAGGCTGGACATTGAAACGAATACCAGGATGTCCACGACCATACTGTGCTGTCCCAAATCTTCCACGCGCCTACTCCCGGCTTCGCGGTGGTGTATCTCTTGCCATCTTTCTTTCAGTAACTCTTCTTGGTTGACTGGTACCGTAAACAATCGCAGCAGAGCGCTAATGTTCGCTTCTGCCGCAGCCCGCGCGCACCTGAAGGGGCCAGTCTTCTCATCAACATGAGCATTCTATCGCAGAACGGCGGGGGGAGATATCTGTGCTTCGAAATAGAGGGAATTTTCACGACGACGAATGAAGAAACCTGGAGTAGACGTTTGCAGGTGAGTGCCAAGCAGAGTTGCTCTATGGGGTCGTCGATGTGGGAGAAGAGGAGGAGGAGCAATTCGGTTGGAAGACGAACGAGAGTCGAAGATATCGTGGGCACTGCGCTTAAAAGCTGATAATGGATTCGTTAGATGAGTCGATCTGAGTATGAGAAGCGTGTGTTTACCTTTTGTGGAATGATAAAGGGCACCGGGTCATGCGGAGCCATCAATGGCTTTGAGATCGCAGTCGGCATGTCGCACAGCCAGTCCCTGACGGGTCTGCACTGGAGACTAGAGTACTGAGCGTGGAAATGACGGCAATAATCTTTGAGGAAGAAAGAATCGTTACTGACTTGGTTGACTTGCGTGTCCGTAGATGGAGCTGCGTAGTTATTACGTCGCATCGGCGTTGGCTGGGATGTTGACAAGAAGCTCGCTCAGGTACCGGCTTAGACACTGTCGGCCAGTGTTAGTGGTGAAGCAACTGAGGTAGGTTATTTAGGCGGCGGCCTCAGGCAGCAGCATTTTTACTGGATTTCAGTGTAGGTAGGGTCTTAGTGCTCAAACTTTTAATAATCCTTAGAAAGCCACTTCAACACCCCCTAAGCTCGTTCTGCTTTTCTACGAACTCTCTATTATTCTTGCACAGAAATCTAACCCGCTGTAAACAACACATCTTTGTCGCAGCAATGAGCACTTCACCTCCACCAACCCCGCCTTCAAGAGCACCAGGTGACCAAGAGCGGCGATTTAAGGATATTAGGTCGCCTTGCGAATGGATAGAGGACTACCGCCCAAGCGGCTTCCATCCCGTACACCTCGGTGATTTATTCAATGACGGCCAGTTCAAGGTGATCCGGAAGCTTGGAGAGGGTGCTTACTCAACGGTTTGGCTTGCACATGACCTGAGGTTAGTTAAATAAGACTTACCTGCATTGTTGTCAATGGCTTATAATATCCCTAGAAACTCTCGCTATGTTGCCCTCAAGATTCTCATCTCAGAGAATACAGAAGAGACTAGCCACGAGTTGCATGTCTTGCATCATCTTGCCAAGGTTGCCCCACAAGATGGGACAAGGCATGTTACTCAACTTCTTTCGGACTTTGAGCACAAAGGTCCAAATGGCATCCATAAGTGCCTTATCTTTGAACCCATGGGCCCATCTGTCAACTCTATGGTATACGAATTGCCCCAGTTCAAACCACGCAAGTATGGAATGAAGATTCGTTACCCACCGCAGATGGCGAAACGCATCCTCCTGCAGTCCTTACGGGGGTTGGAATTCCTTCATAACAATGGTGTTGCGCATGGAGATTTCCAGCCCGGTAATATTTTATTTTCAGTCCAGTCTATCGATTCCCTTGATGAGATGTCCCTCTGCCAGGAAGAAAACGTCCAGGCAAATTCAATCTCGTCTCCTGTAGAGAGGCTTGATGGCAAGCAAGACGAATGGGCACCGCGATATCTCTGCCTTGCTCAACCATTAGCACCCTACGCAAGTGTTTCCGAGAACCTCCGGGTCAAGCTATCTGATATGGGTGGTGGTAAGTCCCTTCTGCTCCCCTCCAGATCCGTTCCTACTTGAGATGTGACTTACAACGAGTAGCCTACTTTCTGAACGATCCTCCCAAGAAGCCCATCACGCCGCTTGGCCTACGAGCGCCGGAGCTTGTTCTCATGGGAGAGGTGGACAAGTCTCTCGACATCTGGAGTTTTGGCTGTCTTGTTTTTGAACTCGTCACCGGACAACCTCTCTTCTGTACTCCTGCATACGGTGACAAGACCGAAGAAGATGATAACCATATTCTTGAGCTCCAAGCAAAGCTTGGCCCACTTCCTGATGAGCTTTACAGCCGCTGGGAAACATCCTCACGGTACTATACAAAGGACAGAAAGCTTTACAATTGCCAGCTTGGTGGCATTGACGAGGGCGAAGATCCGCTTATGCTAGAACAGACTTCTATGGAGGAAGCTTTCGACTTGACAACCCCGGACTTGACTGATGAGGAGGCAGAGAAAGTCAAGAGGCTTATTCGTCGAATTCTTCAGTATGATCCCTCTAAAAGACCCATGATTAAGGATATTCTACGCGATCCGTGGTTTGTGTAGGATTAAACACCAGAACTAGAGAGGTGGCCATTGATCGGACTTTGGTGCGCAAAGCATGCAGGGGTCTAATCTACCTCGCTGGCGGTTTGTCAATAGCCCCTGCCACTACTCTTGCACCATATGCCTCGAACACTGATTTAGAACTCATTCAAACAGCAAGGATGGCTGGATTGTTCTATCGTTATGGCCTGGTTGCGGGGTGAAAAGACCCAAAGGTACGATAGGTCACTCGGACTTTTTTCATACCTTGATGTATTTTGCACCATTGATGACAGGGAGCCAGGAATTAGAAGGTAGTATGCCTCTATTGGTATAATTCTCACCCTCGTCTGATATCTTACCTCTATGGCTCCTTACTTTGGCCGTCGAGTCAAAGGTACAGTAGTCCTTGTGACATGGTAAATTCGTGTGGTCAAGATCTTGCCTTCCCTGGGAGCCACCGTCTGCATCGCTATCGCTGCCATAGCCATAGCGTGTCAATGTGAGGGCGGCTTGACGATGGGAACGGCGGCACTTGAATCAAAATGCAGCCTCGTGTGCTGGAGTTCCAACATTCACCCCTCTCGAAATAACTACGGGCCACTTTCTGTTCCGATGGGGATCATTCAGATTGCAGACTTCGATCTGTCTATTCGGGCAGAGCCAGTTCGAATGCATTCCGGTGCCATTGAGGGAGAAATCTACCGAGCCCCAGAGGCAATACTGAATACAGGCTACACATACTCTGCCGACACTTGGAGCCTAGGGGTCATGGTAATGCCAACTATTCCCATAAGTCCCTATATATTTCATGCTAACTTTTGAGAAGTTATGGGACTTGCTCAAGGGAAAGGGTCTTTTCAATTCTCCAGCCCCCGGCAACGCGGATGAATATGACGACCAATCGCACCTGGGCCAGATTTCTGGCTTGATCGGACCTCCACCGCAAAGTCAACTGTCTAGTGGCCAAAGAACTTCCATGTTCTACAAATCCAACGGTATGTGAGGCGGATCCTGAGCAATCAGATGTCACTAACCCGTGTGTGTGTTCAGGCGAGCTCAAGAATCCTGGCCTTGTCCCAGCCCCTGGCGATTTTAGCTTTGAGAATACCATCAGTTACATGAGCGGCGAGGAGAAGGCCAGGTTTATTCGATTCATCAAGAGAATGGTGAAATGGAGTCCAGAGGAGAGAAGTACTGCAAGAGAGCTGCTTGATGACCCGTGGTTGTATGAAGATTTCCCCCAAGACTAGAAAAGCAGTCCGGAAGGGCTGTCGCGTTTAGCGAGGGCGACATAGCTATTCCGGCAGTGAAGGACAAGCAGACAAAGATCCATGGACATAGACTCTGAACAGTAATGATCGGTGTCGGATTGAAGCCATCTTGTTGGGTCAGTCGCGTCTGCACCAGCAGTCCGCAGAGCTACACTTCGGGTTCATGACGTAGCTGTAGAATGCCCCCGAGAGACTTTATTGAGTTTCAGTTGATGTAGGCTCATTCTCGTGATCCTTATAGGTGATGGTTTGTTGCCTGGGGGGAATTTGCGTCGGGTTGGCTCAATCGCGAAGCAACACTTGACGAGAGGCTACCATCGCAAGCCAGCAAATCGTGAGCTCTATAGGAATGACGACCTTAATACTAATAAAAAATGTCCTGTCTCATAGCGACCATATTTTGGAGGCCAGGACTAGCTTGTTGCTGTCGTTATCGCCGAGTTACAGTAGTCTGCCACCACAGCACCCGCCCAAGACACAAAGTGTCAAAATCACAAAATCGCAAACCTCAAAAATAGCATAATAAAATAGCATCACCTGGGTCGCTCGAGTCTCAAATTTCAGTAAATCCCATTGTCAGCTCCAGATCAGTGTTATTGGCGCCAATATCATCGAATAGCAAACCGACTTTCTGCGACTGCCTACCCTATTGTTCGCTCTGTCGTCGATTGCCTCAGCCAACGGAAGGACATGTCGCAGAGCCACAAATCGAAGAAATAGTAGAGAACAAAGACTCTATCTCAAATATTTGAGCGTTGTAAACCGGATAATCTCTTTATTTTGATCGTATCTGCCTTGAGACTGGTAATATCGATGAGTTTCAGAACAGCTGTCTGATGTCCGACGCCCAGCAACCAAGGACGTGTCGCAAGGTCGCAAATAACGGAAATAATACAATATGTTAATGTTATTCTAATAGAGAATACCCACCAAGCCAGGAAAAACACATATTAGAACCATAAACAAGCTTTTGTTGCCGGAAACGTTGAGTCGCGAGTGTAAAGTCGGCAACAGTCATCCAGTCGCAACACCAGACGCACTTATCGCAAAGTCATAAACGGCAGAAAATGCGAGCACTGATAGCAATGTATTATTAAAAAGAGTATATTATGACCTAAAAGACCTTTTATTGAGCTAGAAAGGCATTGACGCCGGTATCCTCGCCGAGTTACGCGCCAATACTCGGTGATGGTTGACCCGGACGAGGTTGTCGCAGAGCCTCAAAACCTTGAGAATACATTTTTTGATACTGAAACTACAATTAGAACGGCTGCATCTATTGGCGAGTGAGCTAAGTCAAGTTCGAAGTGTATTGTCGCTGACAGTATCTCTGGGCTGCAAGCCCAGAGTCTACCTTGACCCATTCAAGAAAACATTGTCGCAAAGCGACATATCAGAGAAAGGACAGACTTAAGTACCAGCCGCTTAAAATATATGACATATGTAATTGCTGTATCTAGTTGTTGAGAAACCGTAGAAGCAGTATGGGAGTCATCAACGCAGAATTGCAAGCGAGCAGTCTGCAACCGTGTACCCAAAAGGACGCCACCGTGGGGCGCGTTATCGTGGAAATGCATCTATTAGTACCGATGAATCAATCCAGAGGTACCTATCTATTGTTATTGACTCTAGACTGCTCTCTAAAGGCGTTGTTGCTGTCAATATCGCGAACCTACAGTTGAACATCTGCATGAGTCCACCGTGCTCGCGACGAAGCAGTTCAATGCAAGAAACACAAAACAGAAAATCGCAGAGAATACGAGATCTATTACCAGGATATAAGTCTATTGAGTCTGAAATTTATTCATCTGTCTGTATTTGAACAAGAACATCATTATTGCTGCTGATATGGCTGAGTGACAGTCCTGCGTTCAAGGCCCGTCCGCGTGTCTACGAAGAGTCGCCCAGCTTCCACAATGATGAATATAATGTAATTAAATGAGCGATAACTAGTTAAGATATCTATAATGAGTATATTGATTCTCATAAGAGCCAAGTATCCCCATGGGGATGTCCTATTGTGATGTCCTCGCTCCCGCTCTGTTCGCTTCAATCGCTACTGAGGCATGACAACAGCTCACGTCGATCTGAAGGCGTAGTCCCCTTACTTTATAAGTTAAATATGTCACTTGGCCTGTAGGCGAATATTTCCATGGTCTTATCTTGAAGTCAGAGCTGCGTTTTCATTCTGTATCGCATGCCCTGGAGCGCTGAGTTGGCGATGGCCTCAACGCTGATGGCTGCGACGACGACGACGACGACGACGACGATGAGATGCACTACACATGACTCAACTGATTGCTCTAAATAGAAGGCACGGGGATCCTCTATAGTGATGTTTGGCAAGTGAATCGTCTTGTTGTGCTGCCAGTGTATATCCTGCTGCTCAATCCTCGGTCGGCAACGAGGCACTAACATCTGCACACGACGAGCACAAGACCGATTATCTTGACTGACACGACACACGACATCGGATACCGATACCCCATGAGTGCACGTATGAATCATCGACTACGAGCCGTGAGGACACGTCGTTACTCCGCAGCTCAATCGTACTGCCGATACGATATCACTCGCTACCTCCCGAAAAAGTCAATCACGTGCGGGATACCAATGACGAGAGATTTAAACAGAGATTCTATATGACTATCGTAGTGAGATAGGTAACTGTCAGGCTGCGATGTTGGCAAACAGCCTCAAGTTGACAGATCATGCTTCAGCTGCACAGGATCGGATGCCGACACCCCTCAGTCAACTGTGCTACTCAACCTCTCAGCCTATTTTAGCAATGAGACGATGACAGAATCAGGACATGGCTCTACTAAACCAGCAATACCTTGAACGCTTTCCACGAATTCTTCGCAGAAAGAGAATGCCCATCTGATGCCTCAACATCCGAAAGCGCGGGGATACTCGCCTCTTTGACAAGACCTGAAAGAGCTTGTGAAAACTAGTCTAACTTTTGAAGACCGAACTATAGTATTGGCAATTCATATGCCCCAGTACAATACGGTCTCCGTCATAAGTCAATGCATAATGGAGATGCTGGATGTAGATGGAAATGAGATTCTGCGTGGATCCTCCGCACTGTGTAATTTAAAACCAATCCTCTGTCTATGAGACATCCTCCTTTGTCTTGTCCCAATTTTTATTAGAAACGACCTGTTTTAGGGTATATATATACCTTATCCGCACCTACACCCATCTGAAGTCCACTTGGTTTAAGAATCTTGTTCCTTGACCCTTCCTCCGTGTGACTCGATATACTGCTCCCTGGTCTCAATATCATATACGGCAGGTAGCATAACATCGTAAAATAGATCAGGAGGCATTTTGCAACTAAAAGATGCTGCTTCAAACTCCCATCTCTCAACAAGGTCTTCCAAATCATCAAATCCTTTAGTTTCCTCGACCAATGTGTCAGGGTCTACCGGAACTCCAGGGTTAAAATCAGAACGTAGGATCGATGTGTTGCTCACCAAGTGCTCAATCCCTTCCTTGAATCTGGGATCAAGGAAAAAGCGTTCCGGGTGACTGCACATCGGCTCTACAGATCTGAAGAGGCCGAGTTCGCGGCATTTATGAAATGCCTCGCCCTCAGCAATGCCCATGAGGACGCACCTCTGGAAAACATCGGTGCAAAAATCGCTATGGGCATCGCCAGCCACAGTAAAGGTAAAAGAGCCTGCAGGAACATCCAAGTCCTGTATGGCAAGAGCGTCAATCAGCCAGGATTGTAACTTTGGGAGGAAGGAAGGGCCATAAAGCGGCCTGGTTTTGGTTCGAGTTTTCCAGTCCGTATTCGGCCCCGCGAAGTTATGAATACAGCCAAAAAGACTGACGCGGCGCTCTACTCGAAGTGAGGGATTCTCCTTAAAGAAAGGGACCAGACCCTGGGCATGAAGTGAAGGCATGTTGACTGATGGACTGTCTTCATGCAATGTGAGCCTGCGGACTTGGGATCGCTGCTCAGCGGGCAGCTTGTTAAGGAAACGTATTGCTGTCGCGGTAGCCGAGAATCTTATCTTTTTGAGATAGCGATAATCGAAATGATCGACCAGTCCCATGGGATTGTCATATTCGGCAGCGTATTGACATCGTTGGGCGTTTTCTGGACGTGGCTTAAGAGGATAATCGCCAAGTTCCCGGTAGAACCCGTCAGGGTACCTCCAAAATTCAGGGAGCTTCCACACAAAGTCGTGAAGATTTAATAGAGTCAATGCATGGGCAACATCCTCCCTTGAGGGAATGTCCCAAAGGTTGAATTTGAGATCAAGAAAGTCTTTCGGATGGTACTTGCCAATCCAGTGAGGCAAAGTTTTGTGTACCTGATGTTCAAATTCCATTGGTGCCTTGTCAGCGATGAGCCGCAGACAATACGAGAGTGCATCTCGGACATCCCCTGACTGCTGTTGCCATCTATCATGAGAACCATGCGACAATTGCCCATATGGGTCCATGAAGTCTTCTTCATGAATATCAGCAAAGCCGAGATAGGCAGAGGGACCATAGACATCGGCCCTGTCGACCTTCAGTCCGAAAAAGAACCCTACCCAGTGGCAGAGGGGAGGTCGCATCCTATCCACAAGGTCTTTCCTTGAGCGGGGCCTGTCCTCTACAGGGTTCCTGACATTATGGTTTGCCAACTCTGATTCAAACATAGACCTGAATCTCGGAAATTTGGCGTCAATCTGGGCAAACATTTCTGGGGTAATGAACTCGGCGAGATGAAAGGCCAAGTCTTGCTCGAGGATGTAGTACGTAGTGGCAACGAGGTTGAAGCAACCGGCCAAGCTGCGCCAGTCATCGGTAGTTGAGAAGTGGATAGTGTTGACCGCCAGGGGAATTGTTGTTGTGTCTCTTGCGATAGAGCGACATGTGTATCGAAGGGAGAGGTCGATCGGGGTGCGGGCTTGATCGGCATTGGTCAGTTTATCGGTTTGCGCGTTGTAGGCATAACCGCCATCTACCTTGAGGCACTCTTTGAAGATTTGCTGACGAATCTCTGATGGGAGATCTGTAAGATTCTTTGGAGCCATTTTGATGAAGGCGACGAAGGTAAGGGTAAAGATGATGAGAAGTTTGGCCAAGTTGAGTTGGCAGACTTGAGAGGGGCAGACAGCGGGGTTCTTATAGTGGGTTGAGTGTGCATGAGTCATCCATGAGCGGAAGCCAATCAAATGAAAGAAACAAGACCATCCGCCAAACTTAACTGATGAATTCTGGCCTCCCCGAGGTAGAGTGAGACCTTGATCCTAAATGATTAGGTAAATGAGCATAAGTTTAGTATGGCTTTGTCAAGTTTAGGGTGACTTTTGCTGAGGTCTATTTGTGGTGATTTCTTGCTCACCAAAGCCGCGGTCAGCAAGGTAAGCATAGAGACGTTCACAGGCAAACAGACAGACAGGGAACAGCAGGTTGGGGTGTGCCTGAGCACGTTTTTATTTTTTTAAGTTTGCATATCAGCCTCGAAAGGTATCCAAGCATCTCCAAAGTCTACCATAATTTAAACGTTCCTTGCCTCCCAGGTAGCAAAGCTTCATTAAGTCAATATCATTAAGTTAGCTGCCTCAATTGCAGCCTGAACCTTGATGCACTCAATTCAGCTGGAGAGCCCTGTCACCAAGAGTCAGTGATGTAAATTCACAAGGAGGCGAAACACATACTTACTTGCTCTTCAGCTGGCCGAAATCTTCCTCCTGCAACCCCACTTCAAAGGCTAAGATATTTCAAGTCAGCTATCAGTACAAGGGATCAAGGCCACGATCGCATGCCTACTCTTGTGTTGACCCCTGCGACCTATAAACAGGTCAGCATTGATGACGTCCAGTTACAAGACAAGGCAGAGGCGAAGATACAATAGAGAAAGAGCAAACTTACATACCACGCTTCAATCGTCCAACACGCTTCGACTTTTAGGTCAGCTAAAGCCTAAGCACGAAACACCGGACCGCAAACTCACCAGTAAGTCATCCATCCCGACTTTCCTTATCATATTAGCCCAGCTTGATCATAAGAAAGCCGACATACGTACATACCTTCTGATCACAATCGCTAACAACAACACAGCTACACCATCACGATGCCTATTGCTGGGGGACCAAAGGTTAGAGACTAAGAGGATATGGGAACCAACCAAGTGGTAGCAGGATACTTACTCAGAAGAAGCTCGCAGAAACCCGACCCCGGCGAGCCTTATCTAACAGAAGACCGCGATGTGATCCCTATGATCAGGCAAGCTCTTGCAAGGGCTGACCAGGGTGATCGCGATAGGCTCCGTGACCTGGCTGCTGAAATCGGATCACGATGGGGGATCGAGGACGACGGCGACCGCGTTACTATAGAATATTCAGTATAAAATTATAAAGTGTCATATGCTTAGATAAACTTACAGCTGGCCCTCTTTGGCTGTGAGATCCTCCGGCTCGTACGGCCGTATCTCAATAACCCTCAGATCAGCATAAGCTTCCTTGATGATGAGATACAGAGCCTTCGGACTCTCAAGTGGGCTCTCAACAGAGGGCAGCTATGGCGGAGGCAGAAGATGTTCCTCGAGGCCCTTCGTCTGCTAGATAAAGTAAGTAAGTGATATCGTGTTGGTAGTTACTGCACTCACCCCGGCTTGCATGGCGAATGGCTCCAGGATATCAGGGAGCAGTCGATGGAGGTGCTGCTCGCGTTGAAGAAGATGGGCGATGCGTGACTATAGAGGAAGACCAGGTTAGTATAAACACAAGAGAGGCAGGGTCCCTGCTCTTAACTGAGTACCGTATAGGCCAGGCCAGTCATGGTCTTGGACCACGAGAGCGCGACTGCCGAAGACAGCAAGGTCAGTGGCAACTCGGAAGAGCGTTGAAAGGAAGGGCAGCTGCAGGCTTACAGACGAGGGGGACGGCGTACCGCGAAATCTGCTATCCGAGGATGGTCAATGGAGGAGAAGACGAAGGAAGAGGGCGAACCTACGGATGAAAGAGGGGTGATCGCGGGGTTCTGCTGAGACGTGTCAGAGTCGTGGCAAGCGGGCTTGGCTGAGAGAGGCAGAGGCAGAGGCAGAGGCGATGGCGGAGTAGTGAACGACGTACCGGAAGGAAAATGTATTGAGTCTACGATCGGTCAGCGACATCAACATGCAGGCAGAGGAGGTAGGACTTAATTTGTGTAGGTTCGGGCGGGTCGCCAAAAGTCAATGACCTGAAGTCGTGACTGGCTGAGTAAGTTGGACCGGGATGAGAGAGCAAGGTTGAAGGAGGACTTACCGTCGGCGAAGGAGGGGAAAAATAGATCACGCTACACAGCACGTGACCAATTCACAATCATAAAGACCCTGATGGACGACGTGAGCAACACTCGATCGGAATGGAAGCGAGGGAAACGGTGGGAGATACTTACAGCCAAACATCAGTGCACCATCAATATAAACAGGGGCCTCATAGTCAGATGAATGACGTGAGTAAGGAACCCTGAAGACGCGAAATGGAATGGATGAAGAAGGCATAAATCAACAGAGGAATGCAAGGATTGAGTTATGGGTGAACCTGGTCCGGCAACCTCATCGTCTTCCAAGTCTCGTGTGTGGGAGCTTAAGAGCTCCCGGAGTCGACATAGAACATAGAGTCTAGCCGAGCTAATGAAAACTGTTCAAGCCCGAAATACATCATGGCCCAGTGAACAGCAACCTTCAGGTTAGTTGTCAGAAGCGTCTCCCATCCAAAATGCTTGACCTTCCGAATCAACAGTAACCTGGCATCATGGAGATTAGGACACTCCATGAACATGTGATAAACCGTCTGGTTGGGGTGCCCGCAGGTACAAGTAGCTTCAACTCGGACCCTGACGACCGTATCGGAACCAGGAGACTTGACCTCCCTGAACACGTGGCACTTGTTCAAGTACCAGTTGAGTCCAACGCACTCAGTCCGCAGTTGCATGCCAAGTGTAGACTCGGGTCGCGTCATACCTCGGTAGTAAGCTAAACTCTCTCCGCCCCATTCCTCTTCGAATGCGGGAGGCTGATACGTAGTGGTCTTCGTATCTTTTCGTTCCCTGCGGTGGGCTTCCCATATCACTTTACTTGCCTCGGTCGCCTGCCGAATCGCCTGTTGTCGGATTGCCCTGTTGCGGTTTGCCGGGTTTCTCCAAGCTTCAAGAACTGTTGTTTTCGGCGGACACTTCCAAGTATCTTGAAATCGTTCTCCAGCTTCTTTGACTAGCACTCGCGCGTTGCGCTGGAGGACATCGAAGGCGCTTTCGTTGTAGTCATGAAACTTCTCATGAGATCTTCCATCCTCGTCGTGTTGGGGTACCTTGTTGAACCAGAAGTCGTGAGGGCGCACCTTCAAAGACTTGGCGCGACAAGACCTTGACATGCGGTAGAGGAAGATTTCGATGCTGTCAATGTAACACTCCTTCTCCAGGACAACTCGTGCGGTGCCACGTATTGCACCGGACAACAGCTTGATGCACTTGTACCGCGGCTTCTGGAGTCGTGCTATCTGGCCAGGTGGCAACGAGCGGTGCAGACCCGGCAGATCTGGTCTGTATGGACGCCAGACAAACCATGCTGCGCAAGCATAGGAAATAACAGGCCGAATCTTGCAGATGTAATACTGCCTAGTCTTCTCGAGCGTCATCCCCCAGTTGGCCCCAGATATCCGTCTTTGATACATCAATGCTGTCTCAACCTTTTCCTCGATAAGTGTCAAGTGGTGTTCAAAAGACAGCGTGGGATCCAACATAAGCCCAAGAACCAAAAACTTGTCCGGTTGAAGACATTTTGGGTTGTTCCTGAGCTCGTCGATGTCGGGCAGTAGCGTACATGGGGGTTCAACCTTTGGCGGGCCGGTCAACCCGAGGGCCTCGCGTTTCCGTTGGTCACTCTTCTGTTTGGCGTCACTCACGCCAGGTCGAAAGTGCATCACCTGTGACTTCTCCGGAGAGAAGGAGAGATGAGCGTCTTTGGCCCACTTCATGATTAGATCGTGGAACACCTTCAAGATAGAACAGTTCTCCTCGTAGGAGGGAGACACAGCCATGATATAAGTGTCGTCCACATAGGCAAAGACATGAACCTCAACATATGGCCGATCCAGCTTCTTGATTTCTTCGGCAAGCATTATAAGCAACGGTGCCGTGTAGAATAAGAAGAGTAGGGGGGACAGCGGGGATCCTTGGGGGATTCCAATGTTGACGAAGAAAGGGTCTGAAACGCTCTGGGGCAGTTTGAGAACGATGGAGCGGTCGGAAAGAAACGAGTGAATAACGCGGAGGAACCATGTAGCGACGCCGCGGTCGGCAAGAGTCTGGAGAAGTAAGATGCGATCTACACAATTGTAGGCTCCAGATACATCAAGTGCAACCATTGAGACGTACAATTGAGATATGTGGCCTTTAGGTTTCCAGACCCAGGCCTTCCGAATGACACCTAACATGGCCTTGAGAGCATCTGTTGTTGATCTGCCTGGGGCACCGTACTGAGTCTCGGGAAGAAGCTTGTGATCCAATGCAAGCTTCTTCAGGCGTTGGGCAAGAAACCGCTCAAATAGCTTGCCAAGACACGATAAGAGTGCTATAGGTCGCCAGCTACTTAGGTGGTCATAGGAAGGCTTAGAAGCCTTAGGTAACATCACTGTGATGGCTTTCCTGAAGGCTGCCGCGTGGTAGCCAAGCCTGATGCATGCGTTGAAAAGCTTAGCGATGTAAGGTGCTACCAACGTGCGACACAGCTTGAGGGCCTCGTTGGGGACCTTGTCCTCCCCGCAGGCCTTCTTTGACGGGAGCTTCTGGATCATGGCAATGATCAAAAGCTCCGTCAAGACCAGATCCATTTCGAGCTCCTCCCGATCAGGGCTCAGGTCTGGGAAGGGAAGTTCCGGAGGGGCACAGTCGCTCGTCTCTGTCCAAGTGAAATTGCGGATACAGTTCTGCTTTTCTTCCTCTGAAGCAAACGTAGTTCCGTTATGGACAAGTGCGGGCATATTGATGACATTTCGAGGCTGGCATTGCGCTTTGCCCATCGAAGTCGCCACCCAGAGTGCCTTACTGCCGATGCTTTGGCGATATGCCTTTTGGGCATTGCGTTGCATACGTTTGACGTGGTCATCCAGTCGAATGTCGGAGCCCGCGGAAGTTGAGAGGCAATCAGTCGAAAGGATGTTCCGCAAGCGAGGATCTAGCAGCTGTTGTCTCGGAGGGGGATTTGCAAGGCAGCTGTCGACATGCTTCTGTATAGACTCATAAATAATCTGGATGAGTCTCGATGCAAAGTCATCCGCGTCTTGACGGGAAACCAGTGGCATGTCATCGAGATGACGAAGACCCAGTGCGACAGCTTCGAGGAAAGCTCTGCTGTTGACACGGTTCCAGAGCAGGATCCTGCTGTCGTCTCGGTCACACCTCAAGTCCAGGACTGTCCTTATGGGGCGGTGATCGCTCGGCTTCCAAGGGTTGTCTTGATAGACTCCCCAATGCTTGACTTGGGGAAGCAAAGCGCGGCTGATGAAGGTGAGGTCGATGCATGAAGCTGTGGAATGGCCAGCGCCACTACCTCTAGTGCAAGTAACTGTTCCCGGCTTGGTCAACAGTGCCATCTTCGCCTTGACGATCATCTCATCCTCGAGTGTTTTGGCAGCCGTAGTATGATTGGTCGATTTGAATAAAGGGCCCCCCCCATAAATAGCGATGAAGATTAAAGTCACCGACCACGATGTTAAAACCAGGGCCCGTCGTGTCCTTAACGAGGGTCTCGACATCGATATGTCTCTTTGGTCGACCGTCCTTGGCCGGCTGGTTCACATTGTAGACACAGTGGATGGCAATCTGCCCCTGTTGAGTCTGAAGAAAAAGCGTGGCCGCCATATCTTGATTGGGAGCATCATGATATCTCACATCCCAATGGTCTCTGGGGATGGAGCGATGAATAAAAAAGAAGACTCGGCCGTATTCGACAGGTTCTGATTGCTCCGGAGCTTGCGACGACTTGTTTTTGTTGCTTTTGCCGCTCCGTCGATTGTGATCATCGGGGTTGTCGGTTGGGACGAGTGGCCTGGCTGGGTTCATCGCGAGGTAATAATACACACAGGTTCGCCAAATGGTTCGAGATGACGGATCACACCCGCAAATGATGTCGGCAGAGCCACCATTTCGGCCTTGTCGCTGATGTGACATCAAGGCCTGCGTGCGTCGCCATGAGCCGTCGAAGTTGGCTTGATCAATGATCAGAGAATCAAGCCTCGGGACGCATCGCGCCCGCTCGGCCTGGCGCTCCTTGCGCCGGGCCTGTCGACGTCCCATGTGGAGTGACCGAAAGAGTTACAGGACAGATAGTGATGTGGATGTAAGCAACAGTGCTTGTCTGACAGCTCATCGGTGTGACAACCGATGAGCTGTCAGGCAGTGTCGACTGTTGTTCACGGCCAGAAAGTAAAGGTGACGAGATGACGGTAAGAGAAAAGTGTCTGAATGAGTGGATGTTTCAAGATGAAAAATGAAAAAATGTTGGAAGAGACGATATCCGCGTTGTGATGCGATGTACTGGCTTGTCTGCAGTGTTCACAGAAGCAAGTTTGGAGTTGATTGAAAGATTGAATGAATGAAGGAATGGTTGAATGAATGAAGGAAGGGACAAAGTGGCCGATGGCGACTTACTTATCAATTTCCGTTGCCTCGGGCAGTCCTAGTAGCTGCGTCAGCCAACCCAGCATCAAAGGTACAAAGTCGTTCAAGGCAACCTCAACTGCGATAATTTGTCAGTAACTGCAAATTGTTGAGAGATCCGAGCGGTTACAATTGCCGTATTATCGTATGATAGAGAAGCGAATCTCTCGAGGCTGGAGATTACACGACGAGGATAAAGATTTGTTCATTGTCGCTGATTCCGAGGGGCGTGTGACGCCCGAGCGCGCTGTGGGACGGCACGATGGCTCTGAAACCTTCCACTAAAAACCGCACTACTGGGTGGGAGTGCAGCACCACGACTTCCCCTGTACGGCTGAGGCAGGCTCCAGGGGGTAAGAGCCTGGAAGCTAGACTTCCAACGCGGAACCAGGATGCTAAAGCTACCTGCCCTAGGTAATGTACGAGCGCCTCGCAGCCTCGCAGCGCCCGCTATGACGGGAACTATTATCCCACGGATCCAGCTTACGCAGAGCGCCGGACTCACGGTAGTCCATCCCATGTCATTGCAACATCAACGGTGTAAGTTTTTGTTGAGCTTTCGACCCCTGTACTGGTGCGGTCAATGATTCAGCGGTAGATACTTCGGGAAAACCTAATGGATTGAGTGATCTTTACCGGTACCTGCGTATCTTGTCCGTGCGGCTAAGAGGAAACGTCTCGGGTCTATTCATGTGACTCAACAAGTTTACTGAATGAGCCATTATTGCACGTGTTATAGTCGCTGAACTAAGGTCAGACCAACTCACAAGTCTAGACATGTAACTTAGTAAGTGATGAAGTTGTCTATTGAAAGTGGCGAAGCCAAAGGAAGAAGAACGCACTCAGCTATTGTAAGAGATTGTCAATTTGGAGCAATGCAAGGTGGAACAAGAGATTCTATGAAAACCAGCAAATACACTATTAATTAGATGTCGTCGAATACCGTTCAGACCCTTCAATTGACACGCATAACCTGACATAGCAGACAAAGACAATATCATCGTTCCCATTTCCACTTCCCAGATAACCTTCCTCCATGCCGTTCTACCGCTATCGTCGCTTACTTTGCCGCGAACGACGTGATTTTGAGGGAATACTGGTGTCAGAATTATCTGATGCATGGCTATCAGATTTCTCCGGCTCGCTGCCAATATCAGAGGAGTCGGGGCTATCATGAACTTTCCTCTTGTTATGAATAGGGCTTGGAGACTGCCCGGAATCGCTGACACTGTCGATGTCACTAGGGACCGATATGGGGCCCTCATAATCCTCGGAACCGCTGCGTGATTTGCGCCGAGACGAAATACCTGTCTTGGTGTTGCTTGTGCTATGCTTCGCCTTCTTGGATGCAGGCCTCTCGCTGACCGATTCAGCGCGGCTAGCCTTACGTACAAAAGCCTTGCGCGGTGTGTTGATTACGCTTCGGGCAGGCAAGAGGTCATCTATCACGTCCAGACGGCGCTTTTTCACGGCTGCCGAGTCAAAGGTAGCAGGTAGACTCCAGGTAGCCTTGTCACGTTTCGTACGTGTATGATCTCCCTCCCGGTTAGAGCTGGGCGTCGGTTGAGAAGCCGTAGTACGGGGCCGCGACTCCGCTCGGCCACGCTTCTTCTGGGCGATAGAATCAGAAAACGCGGGACTCGGTTCTCTGAGCCTTCTGTTCGAAGACTTCAAGCTTAGTCTATCAGCAGCAGGCCTCGAAGAAAGATGCGAGGCCTTTCTGGAGCGCTGACTCCTCGGAGGAGACTCTTCAGAAGTTTCGGAGTCCGAAGCGAACGGGTCAGAGCTTGCCTCATCCTCATCCTCTGAAACGGCAGATTTATGAGACCGGCCACGATCACGAAAAGATGATTTGTTCGAGGTCTGCTTGTCGGGTGTTGAGTCCATAGACTGGAAAGGCGAACGAGAGCGACCCTTACGAGTGCTTTCAGGCTTCAACAAAGATGGCGTAGGAGATCCCGGAGTCTGATACTTGCGCGAGAAGACGGGCCCATTCGCTCTAGTTCGCTTATCCTGTGGGCTCGAAGGTAAAGTGTTAACAGTCCCTGCTCGCCTAGAAGTTATCGAAGGCTCTGGGGCTGGAAGCAGTAACTTGTTGGTCGTCGGCACGTCCCCGAGACCATACCTGTCGCATACGTTGCTAATGGCCTCCATTATCTCAGCTTTGAATGCAGCCAGAGATACTGGTCCGCGGAGAAGCGGCAATGGCACATAGGATGAGGACGTAGGCTGGGAGAATCGACCGGGAGCCGGTGCCACAACAGATCTTTTGCCTCTCAATCTAGCTTCTGCGATGGCTCTTTTCTTCTCCTCTGCTCTATAAAGAGCTGACGCCTGGCTAGCAGCAGTGCTTTCGGCGCCGCGCGTAGCCTTTTCCATATCAGCAGCATGCCTGGCAGCCCTGGCATCCTCCTCGTCGATATCAGGCCAATCGCCGCCTTGGACACCAAGCTTTTTGTCGAGCCATTCTGCAGCCTCCGGCCTGGTCTTGAAAGACTTGTCTATTTGCACATGTTAGAAAGGCTTGTATGTTATCATCGTGACTTACTGCTGTTGTCCTTGAAGTTGTTTGTCAATATCTGGCGAGTCTCTTCGTCTTGCGCAATGCCAGTCTTGAAACCTCTGGCAACTGCGTAGAACTTGGCCATGGTTATCCTCACTACACGAGGTAGAGTTGATAGACAGAAGCGCAAGATGGAACAAGGCGAAGTATGGGGGGGCTTACCAGTGATGGGTTTACGGCGGAAACGGCCTTTGTGACTCTCGGCCATACTGCCGTATGTGTCGGGTGAGGCTGACGCGTAAATCATGGCATGCCTTGTGACGCAGCTAATTCCTCGGTCTCCTGACCCAATTTCCGACTCTGCATGAGATGCTACATGAGCCGATGTTCCTGGCTGAATATGGCCCGTGTAGGCGGCAAAGCAAAGTTCATCTTTGGGGGGTCGCGGTATACGCGAGCACGATGCTAATGCCGTAGAGGTTACATCGTATCAGCTGACAATGGGTTCCTTGCAGCTGAACTTTCTCACTAGTCTCATCTGACAACTTCCTGATATAGTAACGAGGTTTCGTCCTATTGGTGGACCGACCAAGTCTGCTTATCTATCAGACCATTATCCCATGTATCAAGGCTCGGCAATGATGGGATCAACGGATTGTTGGGGTGATATCAAATCCTCCCATCTGTGCGCAATGTCAATAGACTAGGTCAGCAACAGGGGCCATTGAATCTAGACCAAGCCAATATTTGTAAAACATGGCGGCTCGCGTGAGCCGTGATGTTGAGACGGCCTGTGCGTATCTGTTCCGCAAGGCTACCTTAGTAGGCTAGGGCGGGATCAGTAGTGCACGGTTAGAGTAACGTTAGCTTCTCACCCCCGGATCATCACCGCCTCGCTTACGACCCGAGCGCCCAGACCCCAAAGCCTAGTACCTGGGGGTTGGGGCCTAGCCTTGGATAGCGGGACTCTTCAGATCCCGCGCGGCAGGCTCGGCAGCACTGACTTTGCGACACCTCGTTCCGAACCTTGAATAGTATCGCCAACCCCAGACACAAAGTTGGTTAGCTTTGGACCCGCAAGTTGACCTGCAACTCTCATTTAGCATCTCGGATAGCACGGGTGGCCTCGGAAACGCTTGACACGGAAATGATCTCTCGTAATATCGACAAAAGCGGTTGATGCTGAATTTTCCAGAGTTTCTGGACTTTTCGCAGTTGGCGATGCACCCCCCAACTTTCTGTTCACTCTGTCCCGGCTCTCTCGTCGTTTTGGCGTCGGATATAAGACATCACCCGTTAAAGCCGAACAGACAGCATGATATTTATTAATTCTAGGTATATATTTAAAGTACTCAGGTGATATAAGTATTGAAGTAAAGCTATAAGATTACTATAACTTATAATAGATATATTATATAAGATAGAATAAATATTAATTACTATTTTAGTTTTATTTATTATTTATTATATTTTATTATTTAATATTATATTTAATAATCTACCCTAAAGCTAAAAATAATAAAATATATTAATATTTAAATAAAATACTATAATAATATATTATAATAAGTATAAGATTAATACTATAAAATATAACTTTATATTTAAGTATTAATATACTAAGACCTTATAGCCAGAGGCATACTAAATGCATAAAGTATATAGTAAGATCTGCTCTTGAACAGCCTAACTCAGATACTGCAAGGCTGGGATATGGAGATGAACGTAATTGACATGATAAAAAAACAATATCTGATGGATGTGTTAAAGTACTTGTATTAACTATGTATAGCCTATGAGCCAGATAGTGCGACCTCCAAAGACATGCACGGTAAGAACCAAGGAAAGAGAAAGAGCACATATGAGTGAAACTAGATCATACAGAGAGATAGAGCATCAAGTTCAACTATAAGACAAACAAAAAACACATAAGTGAAGATATTTCAGATACACATAGCTTCCTCTTTCAATCAATTATCGCTCTTCCCCTTTGCCGAGCCCTGCGAAAACTTCCTCTTCTTGTGTCCTCGTGGCTTGGGAGATGGTCCACCCTTCTCACGACCGGAAGCAGATCGTACATGACCAGCCCTCTTGTCTGGTGGCTGAGCGCTGGAGGGACGTGTAGTTGTCACAACAGCCTTAGAAGGGGTGCCGGCAGGAGCTCTGGAGGCAGAGGTAGTCCTTGCAGCAGTGACAGAACCGTTGTCAGCAGAAGCAGTGCGTGAGGAGGCCTTGGACTTGGGAGTGCTCTTGGTGCCATTGCCAGGGCGAGGAGTTCCGGTTTGCTGCGGCTTCCTGGTCTTGTCGTTGCTGGCCTTCCGAGACCCCCCGGTATGGCCGTGATCGCTATCGCTGTCGCTATTGGCGTTGGTCCTCCGGCTGCTGGCTTTGCTGCTCGTCCTCTTGGTGCTCCTGTCGGTGTTGCTCCTGTTGCTGCTCCTACCTCTGTCTCTACTGTCGTTGCTATGGCTGGTGTCCCTTTTCCTCCCGGTATCCTTGTTTCTGCTCTCCCCTCCACGCAAGTCATTGGAGGGCGATCTTGGGCGATCCCCGTCCTTCTCCACCGCCACTTCTTTTCCTTTACCTTTAAGGGACCTGGCAATGGGGTTGGATGACTCCTGAGAGCTAGATGGAGTGGTGCTGCCCTTCTTCTGTCGTGGAGTGGAAGCCTTGGGTTCGGTGGCAGCGTTCTCCTTCGCCTTGCCATTGTCGCTATCCTTCTTGTTCTGGCCATTCTTATCCTGTTTACTGTGCTTCTTGTTGCCGCCAGCGTCCGTCGTGCTGTGGCCGTTCAAGCTGGGGGCGCTGCTAGATTCACTCAATCTTGAGCTTGGTCTTGATTGCTCAGGCTCCTCATCGCCACCAGTGATTGACATGTCTTCGCCGAAGAGTGAGCCGTAATCGTAAATATCGTCGTGTGAAGCGCTAGGCCCGGCATTGTTGGAAGACTCGTCATTGATCACAGCGTCCGGCTGAGAACAAGGAACTTCGACACGATTCATCTGCAAATCGTCGGTTGGTGTTGTTAGCTCCATGGCATCTGGTTCCGGTTCCTTGTAAAAGGCGGTAATCCTGGCTTGACCTGGATTGGGCTTGGGAAACCTTTTTGGTCTGCCGACTGGTTTCTTGGCGGATTCCTGGGACGAAGGGACGCTCGAAGAGCCTTGGCGTGAGGCTTTCGTCTTCCCATCCCCCCCCTCAGCATCCTTGGAGGACTTTGACGCTTCGAGGTTTAAGGCCCATTGAGGAACCTTTTTGCGGTAAAAAAGGGACTTCTGATGCTCTGCTCTTGAGAGTTTATCCGTACAACATGGATCCCAAGCCTTGTGGCATCCGCCACAGTTGCAGCACTTGAAGTCCCTTTGCACGTGGCAAGTGAAAGTTTCATGCGCTTCTGCACAAAGGCCGCAATGCGGCGAGTTGGCGTTGCAGTCGTTGGCAAAGTGATTGGGTTTGCAGCATCTGTTGCAGAAGAGCGGGGTACCCTGAGCACAGTAGGGCCTGTATAGTTTCTGTCAGCTTGCGTTGAGAATGATTGACCAGCTGGGTGGATAGTCACTTACTTGGCCTCATCGTGATGACCGAATACGCTGGCACCTTTCAGTGCAATTCGCTTCGCTGTGCCCAAATGCTCGGTTTGTAGGATGACACGCTGGTACGCAACCTTTGCCCTGACACCAGGCTCTTGGAGCTCATCTTCGACAAACTTCTTCATGTTATAGTCATATCCCATCTGTTGGTGAACGGCGAGGTCGACTATGTGCAGATGGTAGGTGAGAGGAAGGGCCAAGAATTCATGCTCGATCTTGAACAGTCCTTTCAGGTTGTCAATGTTGTTCCGAATGTGTTCTCCAGTGTCCCAGTCGGAAAACGACATGATCATGAAATAGAACTTCCCTTTTGATCGAGCTTCTTGCAACTTGACGGTATCAACTTTGGCCCAAACTCCGCCCTGGGATTGGACCATATGCGTGAGTTGGTAATGGTTATGCGGCTTCAGCCTTTGGCGGAAGTCCTGGTCATTGTGAATTTTGAACATCACATAGCCAGCTTCGGGATTGATATCCTCATCAAACTGGCCAAATAGTCGGCCTTCGAGTTTCAGCAAGTTGTCCTCAACATTACCCATTCGACTAGTGATGCCACCCATCTGTGTGCCGAGGTCTCCGAGGCATGAGCGAAGTGTACCTCTGAATACTGGATTTTGACCCTGTTCAAATTCGGAGCCCATAAACTCCTGTTGGATGTTGGCCAATTGTTGACGGAAGTGATCAAAATTGTCGACTATTTCCTGGTGAGGCAAGTCGAATGTGTTAACATCCGACTCGAGTTTTGACAAACGCTTTGTGATATCTTTCAATAATTTACTGATCGATGCACGATTTATAGCTCGTAACTCACTCAGTATTTCAGCAATAACACAAGATGTTTGCTTGGAACTCTCCCACAAGAGGTACAGTATATCCTCCTGAGAGGGGCGTTCAGGAGGAGTGTACCTTTCGTCCCTTCGACGTTTGTTCTGATGGCCGCGGGAAGGCATGGTGACGATAGACGAGAGAAATCGACGGAATGAAGATGAATGACTTGAATGATGTTGAAACTGATAATGAAGACGTAGGAAGCAGTCAGGGCCAACAAGGTGCAACTTATAGCATAAACGAGAGCAAAAGCGCTTTAATTTGGCATCATTTGTTGCGTCTTAGGTCCCAGACGCACTGAAATGCCCGGGCCTGTCTCTCATGCCCCTCTGAAAGGCTATCATCACTCTAAGGTCGGTCAATGTTCCCATATCTCCATTGCTACCGTGTAAGACTGGCTTGACATGCCGTCTTTGCCGGCCTGTCAGGCTAGGATGCTAGCACAATATGTCCGGGAAATTGTGAGAAGATACCACTCATGCAAGCCTCAAACCATGTTTAACCGAATGACAACACCTAATAAAACATACGAGACAAAGGATTCGAAGGTTGTCGCGGAAACAGGAATAACAGGTCACATGGAACGGCACGGAATACTACATCCAGGCGATAGTTTACGGTGAGTATCACAACACAGCCTACCTCATTTCAGTAGCTTGGCTATCGAAGGCGTGTATTCAGTGATCAAGGAGGAAGCATGTCTGAGTTGCATTAGGTTGGTTAGCGATAAGCAGGACTCTATGGTTTCAGCTGGCAAGTCTCCTGGCCAGGGAATTTCCCAGACAAGGCGGCAAGGCCTACGTAAGTGCTAGCCGATCTCAATAGTGTTCCCGAGGCAAAGTCGTTGGGTTACGCGAATAGACTCCAAACTATGGCTCCTCCTAGGAGCTGCATTGCCTTGTGGCATCTTCCGGGTATTTCCGGTCCTCGAAAGAAGCATGCCGGGTGCGAAAACAAGACTAGGCCGTTTCAAGACAACCGGCAAATATATTTTCTACCGTCGCGGTAATTCGTGCAATGCCGACTGAGACACGGAGATTTGACTCAAAGCCTTCAATGGCGTGTTTCGGTGAGAAAAATATTACAAGGACGCCTAATGCGGGAATCGCTTGTTTCCGATGGCCCGTGCTATGCATGTGCACGCCCATACCCCGAACCCAGGCAAACTCTAATTTCATTTTTATCTTGAGCTGGGGTCCGTCCCTAGTGCCGAAGCGGGGCTCGCTAGGGCGAATACAGTTTAAACTCAAACCATCATCAATCATGGATGTCACAAAGAACACCCCTCCACGATCCGTTTTGGCACGCTTCCATGCCATCTACCCAATTCTTAAAGAATACACGAATAATTTGAACAAAAAAGATATTGTAATTAAGCATGAGAACGGATTTATCCTTGTCCTTGATTTGAGGGGAGCTTACAATGTACCTAATATGGACAAAGTGTGGGAGTTCTGTGAAGCCTATGACGCCTGGTACACGGAGCGGGTCGCATTGAGCAATTGCAACGCGGTGGTTGGTGATTCGCGGAACCTACGTGACTGTGTGTCAAAATTGCTTTTCTCTTTATTTCTCTTGCTCTCGGCTATACCTATTTAATCCAGTATCTTAACTCATGTATCGACTCTGCTGGTATACCGCCTGAACTGATTTGATAAGAGTGCTATTTTGAGTTGATAGGCCCCATAGCTGATGGCTTACATCGCGCGCCTCACACGGTGATGGCTCACATCGCACGCCTTACACGAATTTACTTTGCGCTGATCTGATTCTGAATCACCTTGATGATGCCTAGACCTGAATATATCCAGCCTCATGAAGTAGTGTTGACCCCAACGTCTGATATGGATTCATTTGCCCTGGCTATAGGCAAGATTGAACCTGATAAGCTCATGAATGGTTGTTCAAGCGCCGTCTCGTGCCCATACATCCCTCAAGTCTGTCACAGAGAGATCGCTTCATGACCAATGCAAAGACTCACCAGGTGCTCGGCGGTCCTTGATCTAGTTCTGACATTATTCGTTATCAAGTATGAAACATAAGTAAATTTTAGGCTCAACTTTACATATGTTTCAATATCATACCTTACGTCAAAAGCAACAAGTAGAAATAAATCGCAATCTACATCACTCATGGAGTTATTGCAGCAGCTGAACACTAGGACGGGCTGGGAAACAAAAATTAGGTGCCTTCAGTCATGGCAGCTAGGTATAGTAACGGCAATACATCTCACCAAGTAAAAGAGACTCGGTCATTTTTTGCGTGGGTGATATTAAGGGGGGAGTGTTCTTCGCTATAATTCAAATCCGGTATGTACATCCAAGCTGTGAAGAAGACACGGATGGAGTGTGGTTGGTGGGGCAAGCGTATTTCCTTGGAAAGCTCGGGCAAGCAGCAACTTCTGAGGAGCTTCAAAGTGGCATTCAAAATGGCTTCTCAATACATTGACGGTGAGGGGGAGAAGTGACAGATATATCTACGTGGAGGCCAGGCACTGAGTGGTCTTCGCTGCCGCAAGACCATATACTTGAGAATACGGTACTCATGCAGGCATAACCAGACTACAGGGCAAAGGGATAGACACATAGGTACCATTCAGTAATATTGAAGATCAATACGTGTATGACTTGCTGGACTTCCATGTTACAGTGAGCTTTGCACCCGACGTTGAAGTTTGAGCGTCTGGGCCAAGAAAACAGGGAAATGAGCGTACTCAATTCAGAATGTGATGTTCAACATGAATTCAGTCCATCATTTGGAGTGTATCGATGTTGAAATCACCATGTTTCAACCAGGCCCAGAATTTATAGACGTGTCGAGATATAGTGTAATGTTTCTTTTAAGATCACGTATCTGTCAGTGTTTCTACAGTCACGTGGTTGCCTTCTTCTTACCAGCGGCGTACTATAGCATATCTCTAGAGAGGATGAGATGGATACTGGCCCTTGAAGCGCCTACGTACTATGCATGCTAACCAAGAGGGTCCTATACTGAAAGCAAGCTCGTTCATTTTTCAATAACCGGGAATCATGAGCTGTTTGTCTCACTAAAATAGGGACAGGACACAGCCTTAGACACGAGACGAATGGAGATAAGGTTTCTCGCGAGAGAAAAACGCCGACATGGACCCATTCGGGTGCATACATGTCGCACTAAGTTGTCTACAACCTACCTGTGATGTACTATACCTCAGAAAGCTTCGCGGGGCAACATTCAATAGCTACTATAAGAAACCTACCTATCTTCCTTCTTCGACGGTATTGATTGAATCACTAAGTCGTATCCGAATTGGATACGAGATAACCATCAGTCTGGATCTCAAAAACCTCAGCCACTCTATCCCTGTACGTCTGGTCAAGAACCAGTCTTTCATAACTGACTCCAGCGTGTATGATCCATTCCAGGAGCCAACGAATCCCATCAAAATGCTGGGTCTGCTGAACTAGAGCCTGGACATCCCATGCAACCCCAGTGTTGAAGTCGGCAGTCAAGATCGTCGAAGTATGGTTCACCAGTCGATCAATGGCTTCCAAGTCTTGAACACGCACCCTATCGTGGTAACGCTGTGAGGGTGGAAGAGATAGTGTGCCTCGCGCCGTCAACACCTCCTGTGCCCGGCACCAGGCAACATCTCGATGAAGTAGGCGTTGGAATAGATCCGTACAGTAGTCCTGGTTTGCTCCTGCCTCTAAGACTAGCGTAAATGATTTGGCTGGGATTTGCCTTTCTTCCATAGCGATCGCTTCTTTGAGCCATGGGAGTATCCGCAAAGAAAAGAATCTTTTATAAAGCTTCTGTTGCCTTTCCCGACCGCGGTGCAGATAGGTTGATACAGCGGCAGGGGGTTCTGCGATTCCAAAAATGCAATCCAGCATACTGACGCGACGCACAATCTGAAGTGATGGATTTTCTTGGAGGAAAGGGACTAGGCCTTGAGCATGAGTCTCGGGGTTGTTGACAGATTTGAAGTTTTCGTGCAACACAATCTTCTTCATCAGAGTACGCTGATTGGGAATCCGCTTGAGAAATCTAATTGCACTAGCAGCGGCTGAAAATCGGATCTTTTCTCGACAACGGACACCCTGAGGAGCACGTACAAGACCGTCAGAGTCAGGAGATGCAGTCATTTCTTCGTCTTCGTCAGTATCGTCCTGCTCTTCATCACTGTCACGGTCGTCGATATAGTCCAGATGACCGTCATTGTTTCTTGGCTTGGCATGCCACATAGCCGGGTGTATCCAGATATCGCCAAGCGCTAAGAGTCTGATCACACGCTTCAATTGGCTTTCAGATGGGATAGCCCAGTCATCGTATCGAAGATCGAAGAACTGCTGTACTGGATCTGCTGCAGTCCAATGCGGAAAGGTTGAGCGAATGTGATTAGCAAACTCGACCGGCCTTTGCTCTGCCATAAGTTGAAAACAGTAGTACAGAGGATCTTGGATCTCACAAGAGGTTGCAGAACAGATCTGTGAAGGATGACCTGGGCGGCGCATCTAATGAACCCTGGCGAACCCAGCGTAAAATCTATTTGGACTGGCCCAGTGATGAAGAAACTGTCCAATCTGACCACAATGTGCTCCGCTCGACTCGTTAACGGGTTGCGATTCTGTGTGACCGGATCCAGAGTTAGATCCCGGCGAAGTGGCGTCCCCGCCAGCCGCCTGATCGTTGGTGTCGTTATCGTGAGTGATGCGATAGTGCTCTAGATGTTCGGCCGATGCGGTTGCAAGCTCTCGTGTAAAATCAGGATACTTCGATGCGAGCTGCGATTGCATGTCTGGTGTCATAAACTCGGCTACATGGAGGGCAAAGTCCAACTCCAAGTGGTGATAGTACGTAGCAACAAGGTTAAAGCAGCCGGCTAGACTTCGCCAATCCTCGCGATATAGAGTCAAGAAGGCGACCGAATTGAGGGATAAGGGGATATGCTTAGTTTCATTGGCGATGGTACGGCACGTAAAGATGAGGGCGAGGTCAATCGGTTGATCGTCACTCGTCTTGAGCTTGTCGGACTTCGCATCGTAGACGTATCCACCGTCAACTTGAAAGTAATCGCGATAGATCTGGGAGCGCAGCTCCAATGGGAAGGTGAGGAAGCTTCGGTTGGCCGACATGATGTTGTTGAAGCAAATACTTTATGTTCAGTTGTTTTTCGTTCTAACTTCTGGGTGATAAGCAGGTGGAGGAGGGGGAGGGAAATTTCCAGGAAGACGCGGGGATTTTATAAAAGTTCTACTGCATTAGTCATAGGAAGGCAGAGTTATGAAGGCGGGGTTGAGAAAGCCTAAAAAAGTCGAAGCTGGGAGCGACTAAAAGTTAAATGGGGTTTTTTGTCCTTTGTAATCCTTTTTATCCACTTTTCTTTTGCTCTGTCTATGGTCTACCAGCTCCACCTACCAATGGCAGATAAAGGTTTATAGGTACAGTCCCATTTACACTTCAGGCTGCAGTATCTCAGGCAACTACAGTGAAGATGGGATCTGAAGCTTAAAATTAAAATGCCTAGCTTCAAGGCGACTGCATAAGTACCTAGCTAATTGCTAGCCATAAAATTAAACTTTAGGCTGCCATTGAATACCGACGTGACACAATTTGTCATCCATGCATTATTATTCAAGCTGTGAACCTACGGCTCCCTTTCCATGAAATACCCTGTCAATGCTTAGATACGCGCTCCAACACAGCGTCTGATATGCGACTACGGCGTAATTCTCTTGCTGATATGAGCTCTTAGCCCGAAATTGTAGCATTGCAGTATCTTTAGATCAACCACGTTAGCAGAGTGGCTCATTTATAGACAGGATGTCGAACTGGAGCAGCCCGCCCCATATTTCCGCTATTTGGGAGGTGCCATCAGCTACGACATGGAGCAATCAACAAACATGGATGGGGGAGAGAGTTTGCCTGACATGTCCGCATGAGGATGCCTGGCTGCCGAATGTCAAGTCGATACAAGACTCGGATTGTCCGCGGGTAAAGGTACGGGTGCCACTTTCTGTGAGAAGCTTCATGCCCGCTCGCTTCATGCCCGCTCGCTTCATGCCCTCCACAAGTGCCTTGGCCTTTGAACATGTTCGCATGGAATAATTTCTGCAATACTGTTCATTGTCTTGCCTTGCCAAACGGGCTCGCTATCTGTAATAGGGAACCAAGAGATCTTCGACCCTGGAGGAGAATGCTAAGCTAGCCCCCCGTAGGGACCCTAAACTTCGCCTAAATTTTGCGATAAGTCGCAATTAGAAGGACCTCTGAGTCTCGGCTCTCCATATTTGGACGCATGGAAATGTACCGCATCGGTCCCGTAAACTCGCAGCAGGGGCCGGCGGTCCGAATAGCTTCGGTCAATTCATCAAGCTTGAGCGTTTACTAATCACACACCGTAACACGAAGTAGAGAGGAAAAGAATTTGCAGCTAAGAATCGTACTCGCTTTTTTCGCGGCAAGCCTCGGAGATTGACGTGGAGATGAATGTTGCTGTTTGGACCTCAGAGCGTTGCCGAAAGGAGAGACGTGCAAGTTGAGATGCTGCGCATATCCATCCGAGTAACAAGTAGATACTTTGGCAAAAAGCGACCTTTCGAGCTTGGAGGCTTTGTTATAAGACTATCTAATTGCACAGAATAACTTCTTCTACTCGTCAAGTATCTTCGTGGCTTGTTACTCTGTGTTCTTTTGCAACGTCCTTTTTATTGTCTCTCAACGGACAAGTCTGATTATCTTATCTACTACCCGGCCCTTTTGACCCTATCGCAATGGACGAAGTTGTTGAGGATGCGAGCCCTCCGAATGGCAACCAATATTGTTGCCAAAACGGCCAAAAAGGTCACCAGCAGCTTGAACAGGTCATGGCGAAACTCTCCGATGAGTTGATCGCTTTGAAAGATGAGGTACGAGACCTTTGCCACTATATGACCACTGCAGCAACTTCGGATGCAATTCTGGAGATCAAGACTCAGCTCCAAGAACTTCTCAATGAAACTCCTTCATTTCCCGATGAGCTTCTTCCTGGCGACAGTCCGACGCTCAGATATGTTCTGGCTGAGGATTCAGATGTGAGACTCATCGAGGAGGGAGGCCTGACAAATTCCAAGATTTGCGAACGTCTACGGAAGCTCCCAGGTAGTCATTGGCAGGACATTTCTGCTGCAACGTTGCTGAAGCCAAAGGTTGCCAATCGCAACAGCAACCGGCGCCCGTGTATCTTGATTGATGTTAAATCATGGGAGTCTGACGATGCAATTCGGAAACAATCTGCCGCGATCGGCAAGGAATTCGGGGTCTCGACCAACTGTTGGCTCATCGAGCCTCGATACACCGTCGAGGTCCGAGACATCGGGATTGACCATTCATCAAAAAGAACTACAGCCTGAGGCAAATTGCCAGGCAACTGCAGTTCAAAGAACTTACCGTCACCGCAAGAGTGTCATACAACAGGCTCCTTCTGGACACTTCGGACCTCAGTATTGCCTTGCACCTCTCCAGAACGCCTATCACCATCATGAAAAGGCAATATGATTGCATGTAAGGTTCCATTCCAAAGCCTGCTGTAACTGACTGCGACCGAGCACTAACCAAAATCACTCCAGACCTTTCCCCGCCCAAGGGACCCCGCTATTTCGTTACAATAAAAACTGTTCGTCACTAAAGAAAAATGCTGTCTCTGCGGCGGTGATCATCCAACCTGGGACTCCAAGTGCACAGACATACCATCGATCCGACAGCACGACGGCCCCTCCAAGTTCCAGAAGGCGGGGCCCCACTGGGCTAGCTTGCTCAACACAGGCACCAACGTGTCTGCAACCAAGGAGACACCAAAAGCGACTAAAAAAGCAACAAACAACAAGAAAGCAAACTCGTCCCCGGCAACTAAGCAGGCCTCGAAGGAAAAGACTCCAAAGTCGGCAAATTCCTCAGCCTCCGATGAAACCACACAACGAAGAGACGAGGCAGGCGGCTCAAGTCTGCAGATATTGATCCGAAACAAACTACTCTCACTTGTGGTATCCCAATCGCGATGCCCAAGCTTTTGAGGATGATCTGGCCATTTTATTGTTAGTTAAGACTGAGGTATCGTTGGCCGTCCTCAAAGGGCGATCCCATGGTATAATAACGAGGGTATTGGCCGAGCCCCGTGTGATATCGACAAGATTGGATGCCCTCGAGTTTCAAAGCCAATCCAAAACCGACCATTGTGGTGGTCTCGATAGGGTAACTGCAGGATGCGATGAGCTCGGTGTCATTGAGTAATGGTTCCGACAGCTTGGGTTATGGCATGTTTCAGCAACGCAAGACGGCCCTTGGTATAAGTATGACACTCTTCTAATTTCATGAAACCATTCATGACTTGGTATATTCAGACGAGGTAGTCTCTGAGATGGATGCATATTGAGCATTATAAATCGACTGTATTGAAGACTGATACAGGAATTATTCCTTTTGTGATTCCGTCGCGGGCAAGGTCGACTTTTAACCGACGAAGACACAGACCCAGGACTGCCATGGTATTTCGTTAGTTTAAAAAGAAAATACGGGTCTAATATCTGGACGAGACCAGAACTAGAGGAGCTTTGATCAATGTAGATACAGCCTAGCTCAGGTAGCAATCCGGACAGACGCTCTGGCGCAAAGTATTGTGCGCACTTTTGTCGAACAGGCTGAATAGCTTGTTTGATGGTGGAAAACGGAAGGTATATTGTCCCCTTCTTCTTATCGTAACCATGGGGAGTGTGTTTTGGGGCCAGATTAGGATTCGTAAACGTGTCGTAGTTAAGACTCAGGTAGTACCGGTCCTTGCTTCGAACCAGTGTAGCTATAGGGGCGGCGTAATTTCCAACAGAACAGGGCGTGCGGTGACTTCGATGACGGCAGACCATGAGGACTTCTCTGTGTGTTGCCCCCCCATCCGGCACAGGATCTCGGATGAACCTTTCGAAGTCATGCCAGTAGATTACCTTATGCTCACAGAGACGGATATAACCTGTCCTTGCAATACACACTTTCTGACCAGCAGAAAAGCATAAAGATGGATGCTTGACTTTACACGCAGTGCAGAATTCCCAGTCCCATACATTTCTGGCTGCAAATTTACAGTTTAGTGACATGCGCTGTTTCTTGCGGGCGTCTTTGCATGCGGTACATAGACTTTCGTTTCTGATGAGGTCGCCGAGCCCTTTTGAGTCTTCTCTGTTGATCTTGTGACCAAAACAATGCTTTTCCTCGGAGTAACCATCCCTGTGCCACCAGGTTGAAAAGTACGGGCGTGGCTCATCACAACACGTTTGCCACAAAGCACTGGGTTGCGAACATACTCTGCAGCAGTCGTCGCTTGAGAAGACGTGCGAAAGAAATTGACGATCCTGCGTCAGTCGTCTGAAACGTCTAGAGACTTGACGAAGGACAAAGAAGGCGAATATGGAGGGTTTATCGTTCCCTAGATAGATATGATGAACAATAAGTATCATGACCTCGTCCGGTAGTCCGTTTAGCTCGGGTCTTGTACTTGGGGCCAGAGTAGTAGTAAGGCCGGTCAGATCGATTTCTATTGTCGATATTCGTTAATGCTATAGAAGTCCGGGGTATTTCATGCTTACCTGACGGCCTCGGCTTCGCAAAGAAGAGGCTAAGCAATGCTTGGAGCCAGCTTAATATTATGAGTACTAGAATCATGATGGATCCGGGTTCGTCTTTGAAGTCTCCGCTGCTGATTTGTTGAATAAGAAATTGATTAAGCGGAAGATTTCTCCACATTCCATGACTGAGGCATGTCTCTTATAAGTGACCAAGTAGAGTTCTTATCTTTTGCATATTGCATAATGTAAAGTTCAAAACTTTTAGGCCACCAACAGCTCTATGTTGACCAATCAGTCTTGAACCATACAAAGTCAAGTCCTGTTGAGTTTGAGGGAAAAGGGAGACCAAAATGTATATCGATCAAGAGGCGCTTGTTCATGACGGGAACGAACTCCCTCGCCAAGTTCAGTGCCCTGCCAAAAGGAGGTAAGAAACTTGAGAGATTTTTTTCACAATGACAGAAATACTACTAAAATTAAGAAATATTTCATGTGCTCGGTTTACCTGAAGCTTCTTGTTAGTCGACGTGGAGATCCTAAGTTGTGTTATCTCCTCTTTGACTCGTGATTGAAAGCCTGGGGTCTCTACCTACTGTCCAAGCCACGGATCAACCTTTCAGCGGCCCCGTCTCAAAATGGACCAACCACCGTTCGGTGCTGTGGTGCGGCAATTCGAATTGTTCGGCGCTTAACTCAATCTCCATCATCTCGGCCTGGCGAGTTTATAGTCATGGACTCACCGCACGAGGCGCCATACTATTGTATGGCAGATACAAGATGCCGTCTCTGTCGATTCGAGTTGCGAGAAGGCGACTTGGTGATCTCGCGTTCGTTTACCGATCCATACCACTTGACTAGGACTTAGCTTACATAAAAACAGATATAGGAAGTCAACGATTTTCTATGGATTTCAAGCTCCGCATGATTGAAACTGTACACGATAGCTACGAATGGATCAATCTACATACTTGCGCAAGACGCCGATGCATGATGCAAGGTCGCCGTGTACCATTCTTCCACCATGAATGCTTCCGCTTTAGACTTTATGACATATCGGACGCCCTAACCACTTCTGGAGAATGGAGTTTTGAACCGCCCGCAAGCGAGATCAGTCGATGTTCTCATCGTATCAAGAACCTGCTGGCCCCAAAGCTTAGAGACCAACTTCAGATCAGACTGCCTCCCGAGACTCTAATAACTATTGCTGGACATCTTGTACGAGAATGTGCTGCTGTCACAGCTGAAGAACAGTCGCTAGGCACCGCGGTCTCTGATACTACTGTTGACGTTACGCGAGATATATACGCCAATTATACTGCTGTCGACGGCGTGCGTTATGTCAAGAGCCTTTGCAATACGGCGTCAAATTCCGATGACCCAGATCACCCCACGCTACTGAGCAAAAAGAGTAAGCCAATTGACAAAATATGGATCGCTGAAGATCATCGTGGAATTCGGTGTGTCGTATTCTGTGGTAAGGATGCCCTGCTGGTAGGGTCAACACCGATTACGAAGTCATGGTGGAGGCCTCTTACTATTTCGAACGATACCAAAGAGATTGCAATAAAGTCTGATGTAAGTACGATCTTCCCATTGACATTCATCCTAACTTCCTTTAGGGTATCAAGTTGCGAGACATCGTTTTATCTGGTGAGAGTGGACCGAAACCTAGCAGCAACTATGTTAGTTGGGCAGATCTTTCACATCCGGAGAATGTCATTGACATCATGACACTTGAGCCAATTGGCGTTGTCCCCGAGAGACTCAGGATGATGCCCTTCACTTGCAACGCCAGTGGTACAACAGGATACACGGCAGTGACAGATGGACCATCTGTTGCAATGATCCATGCTCACGGACACGATGATACTAGCTTCTATGCAGATGTGGATGCTGCTTACCCTCGCGACTTCTTTATGCACATGCCTCTAGATGATGGGGAATATGTTACTGAGATATGTCGAAGGCATGGACTGGGCGCAGGGAATCGGTCCTCGGCATGTTTGGTGGTAAGACAATGACTGCTGCCATCTTATATGCGATAACACTCGGAACTAACACTCCCCAAGTTCACAACCAACAAAGGAAGAAATACACTTTTTGGAACAAGTGGTCCTCCAGAGTCTTGCTTAGCGCTTGAAAAGATCTTTACACCCGCAGAAAGCGGAACCACCATATGGTTCAACGACTCATCATCGGTGCAATCAAAGTCACTCAGATATTTTGCCTACGACGTGACTGAACCACCTTCTCAACGACCCTTCCCAGCCTCATTGGTTCCAAACGCTCCGTGCTTTTGGACTACGAGCACTGAGCCATGGTTCGTTTCATCCTGCAGCATGGAAGGACTTGTGGCTATGACCCTCTGCAGGGATACGGCACTTGCTCATCGACCCATCATCGGGATCTTGGTAGAATACGAGAACGGTCACCGGGAGTGTTTGGGTCAATACCGATTTGATAGGACCCTTGCCAAGTTGCGGCTGGATCATGCTGCAGATCTGTTTATTGGCAGCCTAAGGACCATACGATCATATCTCTACGTTGCGGAAATCACCACGTCTTCACCTAATGAGAGTGGTATCTCGTCGTGGGTGAGGGTTTTTGGACATGGTAGACTGGAATGGTGGTCCTCACTCCGACATTCTATCGTGCGTTACACATCAACAACAGGACAGTTCACCAATATGGGAACAAGAACCTAAATCCAGACTATGCTAATCTCAAAAACAGTTCAGTCTCCCAGGAGTCCTCATTGGCGTTTTTAGATCGGGTTGTATCAGCTAGGCAACACTGAAATGGGACAAACAATAGCCGGGAGACACTCTGGACACGGAACGAAACACCAAAGGCAGTCATGATATATTCGGACTCTAGATCATTGATTCTGATGCAACCTCCAGCTGCATCAAGAATTTGACTCTGCAGCTCTCAGAAACTACCGAATGGTCATAAATCCTAACCACAGCATAGCCGATGCAGCACCATTGCTGGCGTAATACCTCTCCACTAACGTGTCTACTCTTCTGAGTGACTGGTTCGGGGATATTTCACACAAAACCCAGTACGCATCTTCAGGGAAGGTTTGTTACAGCCATAGAGAATCTAGACGGCCGGTGCTCGATGTTCAGCGAAGCATCCTGGGAGAGCCTTCAAAAAGGTCCAATGGATGGCACGACGCTCATGTCGAGTGTTGTTGTTCCTTGATAATTGATAGTACAAAGACGTAAAACATATGAATGGATCGTGACGAGATGTATTAGGACACCCAAGAGCTTGTGATATGATAGTATCGAGATGAACTATAGAACAGATGTTCTGCTTCTCAGAATACTCAACAAACCCGTTTGCTGGATAAATAATTGGTCTACGGACCATACCCTGCACGGTACATATATTAAGAACAGTCTGCTGCCTAGATGAAAATGACAGACGCTGCCAGGTTGTGAATAGTACCGCGAGGCCATCGGTCGCATTCCTTTAGCTGATTGATCGTACCGACTCCGAACGCCCCAGTCCTAAGTTATCCAAACTTTAGAAAACCTTGAAGAATAAATTTAAGTTAAAATCATTGATTGCAGTTTAATTATGACCTGAAAGTTACAAGTCCAAACTTCTGAAGGTAATGAATATTAAGCGACTTTAACATACTGCAGGGTATATGGCTGCAATAGCTCCGTTTGTAGTGGGCTTGCGGCTTTAGGCGAGATGAATGTGCACGACCAACCTCGCACAAGCCATTTCTTCAATACGAAATGCTTAAAGGTTTCAGCCAAGGCAGAATCCCAGGTTTGTCATCAAACCGACACAAACCGAGCTAGCAGTAGCGGCTTCGCCTTAGCGCAGGTTCCCTCCTGCCAGGAAATTATCCGTGAGCTGCCAATTGAGAAACAAGGCAGATACCATTGACAAATGAATCATGCCTTAATTAAAAATGATAACCAAGGAAATATCTTTTCGGCACAGAAAACTAGCAAACACCTGGCAAAGAGGAAGCTCGGCGTAGCAGGCAACAGAATTATGGTTTGTCGCCCAATCAGATTATAGTGCGGAGTGATTGAGCCAATCATACGGCTAGGCAGAATCAATAGGCAGGCAAGGCAGCCATCGACGTCAATTGAGGCACAAACACCCGGGCTGACTCACGTCCTCATGTCTACGGCATATAAGACGTACTGTGCTGTCGGGCACTTCTCATCTTTCTCTCTTTAAAACACTTGTTCCATCGTCATCCAATCCCATTGTAATCAGGCTAGAGTGCTGCGCCTCAGACTTGCTTACCCGGAACCCTCACTGTGCTATCGCTACGGCTTACGGTTCCCCATCGCCTCATTATTTCACCAGTTTCTCAGCTGACATCGCTGTCGATTTGAGTCTTTGACAGCATCAGCCGACAGCGTCTTTTGCCCACGTCATCGAGAATAAGAAACAACATGTCACTCTTTGGCGGTTCACGAATTGGCAGTCGTAGGGTTACCCCGCCATGCGGCTGCTACATCTTCATCCAAGACACGCCCAGGTACCTCCCTCAGGTCCAGATCAAGGCTCATACCACGATCCTCGCCACAACATCTCGCACCAACCTCACCCAAACTTTTGTCAACCCCAGCGGCGAAGCGATTGATGAATTGCGCTATGTCTTCCCTCTCTATGACGGTGTCTCCGTCGTCGCCTTCACCTGCACCGTTGGCTCTCGCGGCATCAAAGGCGTAGTCAAAGAACGACAGAAGGCTCAGCAAGTCTACAATGAAGCCAAGGCCAAAGGACAAACCGCTGGCCTGTTCAAACAGTCCCTTGAAGCAGCTGATACTTTCACTACCACTATTGGAAATGTCCCAGCTGGTGAAAAGGTGCAGGTAGACATCACGTACCTTGGAGAGCTCAAGCATGATGCTCAAGTCGATGGTCTTCGCTTTACTATCCCAACAGAGATTGTTCCACGATATGGGGATTCTCAATCCCTCCCCTCGTCTAACGTTTTGCAGAAAGATGGGATCTCGTTCACCATCGATGCAGAGATGCCAGACGGCTCAGCCATCAAATCCATTCAGTCCCCGTCTCATCCTCTTTCAGTAGAGATCGGCACCACCTCTACCACGAAGTCCCAGGATCCCTCCCTCCAGAGAGCCTCAGCTACCCTCCAACAGGGCACTACCCATCTGGAAGAAGACTTTGTTGTCCAAGTAGTCGCCACAAAGCTAGGAGAACCGTCAGCTATCCTGGAAACTCACCCCACCATCCCGAATCAACGCGCCATCATGACCACGCTTGTCCCCAAGTTCAAACTACCTGCCGAAAAGCCAGAGATTGTTTTCATCTGCGACAGAAGTGGAAGTATGGGTGGCCAGATCCCTGGCCTCAAAACCGCTCTCCAGATCTTTCTCAAGTCTCTCCCTGTTGGCGTCAAGTTCAACATCTGCAGTTTTGGCTCACATTTCAGTTTCCTCTGGGATCGGTCTCAGTCTTACAGCCAAGAGACACTCGACAAGGCTGTTCAGCACGTTGAGACTTTTGACAGCGACTATGGCGGCACTGAAATGTATCAGCCATTCGAGGCTACTTTCAAGAAGCGCTACAAGGACATGAACCTCGAAGTCTTCCTGCTCACAGACGGCGAGATCTGGGACCAAGATCGACTTTTCCAGCTTATCAACAAGGAAGTGGCTGATAGCAAGGGTGCTGCGCGAGTCTTTTCTCTTGGTATTGGAGCAGGTGCCAGTACCTCTCTGATTGAGGGTATTGCTAGAGCTGGTAACGGCTTTGCTCAGACGGTTGCTGATGATGAGAAGATGGACAAGAAGGTAGTCCGCATGCTTCGAGGAGCTTTGTTTCCTCATATTTCGGATTATTCTCTGGAGATCAAGTATGACAAAGGAGATTCTTCGGCCGAAGATGACTTTGAGTTGGTTGAGAAGGTCATTGACGCGTTGAAGATTGATACTGTCCAGGACGAAAGGAAGACCAAGGAAGTGGAAGTACCAAAGAAGCCCATCTCCTTGTTTGACGCATCTTCCAAAGATGATGACGATACCGAGATGACTGAAGCCCCAGAGATCGACAACAAGTTTGACCATCTTCCTGGCGTTCCTCTTCCTCGTTATCTGCAGACACCCGGCACCATCCCTCCGCTTTTCCCTTTCAACCGTACCACCGTGTACGTCCTTCTCTCCGATGACACTCCTTCACAGCAACCCAAATCTGTCATCCTCAGAGGCACCTCGAGCCATGGTCCTCTTGAACTCGAGATCCCCATCACGGCAGTCGCCGATAAAGACTCTGTCATTCATCAACTCGCAGCACGGAAGGAAGTCAAGGAACTTGAAGAAGGCCGGGGATGGCTCAAGCATGCCAAGGACTCCGACGGCAAACTACTGGGGGAGAAGTACGATGGCCGCTTCTCTGACATGGTCGAGCGTGAGGCTGTGCGTCTTGGTGTCAAATATCAGGTTGGAGGCAAGTGGTGCTCATTCGTGGCTGTTGAGGATAACGGAAGCGAGGTAGAGCGAGGAGAAGCCCAAGAGGCTGTACCTGATGAGCCTTTACGGCGCGCCATGCCACAAATGATGACTGCTAGCTTCGGTGCAGCGAGCAGTGGCAAACCTTTTCTTTCGTTTCTCAGCCGTTCTCGCAAATCAAACCAGCCAGATACCAGGAGCACCGGGGGTTTTGGAAGTACCGGCAGTGTAACACTCGGAGCTGCTCCAGCTACAGCTCGATACGCCAAACTTTCTTCTGCAGGTCGTGGTGGTGGCCTTTTCGGAAGTTCTGGGTCGTCCAACCGCGGTGGAGGACTGTTCGGAAACTCAAACGCTCAAGCCCGCAGTTTCGCCCCAGGGTCTAGTGCATCATCTGGTAGTCTTTTCGGTGCTGCGCCGGGAGGATCGTTTAGCACAACGGGAGGCCTGTTTGGCAGTGCTTCTATACCTCCCCCTCCTCCTCCTGCAGCACCAACTGTTCAAGCCGCAGCACTCGCACCCCCCGCGGCTGCAGTTGATGAAGATCTTATCGATGAGTATCAGAAAGAGATGGATGAGGCTGCAGCTATGCCGCTGGACTGTTCAATCGAAGGCGAAGAGTCTGATGAAGACATGGGGTTTGCATTGATGGACGACGGACCTCCTGCTCCTGCACCAGCTGCCTTCTCTTCCTTCTGCTCCATGCCTGCAACCTCTATTGCTACAGCTCCCAAGAAAAAGTCCATCGGCGACATGGAGCCATTGCAGGCTTTGACTTCTCTTCAAACATTTGCAGGTAGCTGGTCGTGGAGTTCGGATCTCGAGCATGTTCTGGGCTTGACCTCTGAGCAGGTTTCCAAGTTGGCGCTCCCGGCTTCAGTCAAGGACCATTCAGAGAAGGACGATGTGCTGGCTACCGCGTGTGCTGTGTTGTTCTTCAAGAAGAAGCTGCAAGAGGAGATGGATACTTGGGAAATGTTGGTTGAGAAGGCGGAGGGATGGTTGGAGGACAACATTGGGGAGGATGATGTTTCTGAGCTACTTAGTGTGCTCGAGAAGTTGTTTTAAATAGTTTATTTATGGCCATATGTTGAAGAAGTGTTCAAATAGTTAGTTAGCAGTATGAAATGACAATCTAGTTATTTATGCATTCACGTTTTATTCTAGGTTCTCATTTCCATGTAGTAAAAACTCAAAAAAATCCACTGTGCACGATTCTCCGAGTGGTGAAATGAGAGGCATGTGTCAACGTCATGTGGCTCTGCTTGATTGAGGAATGAAAAACCTTGTCGCAGTATACAACAGTAGATTTAATGTTGATATCTTTGAGACAAGCCAAACAAATTTTTGTAAGTTCGTGTTTCTTTCTCTACAGGCAGGCAGGCGACGATGCAAGATAAAGAAATAAAAGAATGTGTCTGTGAGGGAGGCAAGGGAAAATACAGTGTGCCAGTAATGCATCAATTGATGGCGCATTCTTGGCTCGTGAATTATTGTCCGAGAAGTTGTCGCATATAATAATGTGTTCGGGTGATTATTTACAAACCTGCAATAGAAATAAGTGGCAGCATCAATTACCCATTACAATATTTTGTCCCATCCACTTGTTCATTTACTTGGATGGGGAAGAAGAATCTGGCGCGAGTTACTTTTACCCTCCAACAACAAAGAGGAGTGACAGGGATCGTAATTTCCTATCCTCCTATCCATCAATCCACACATCTGCCAATCCACTTTAGCTGAACATCGCAACCACACACAACACATCAAGCCAACGCATTAAAAAATCACAATTCACTTCACAATTGGGTATTTTTCTTACCAAATTTTGTGTGATTGAAATTTTTTCCATCTTCGTAATTTCAACTGCCATGCTCTTGTGCAAGTTGATCGGTCCGTGGCTATGGAAACTGCTTCAGTCGCACTTTTGCTGCAGTGCTACTGTTTCGACTCTCTGTCTGTCTATCAATCCCAAATGCAATAGCTTTCTTTTTTACAAACGTGCTTCTGTGACGCTATGGAGTTGGTTGAACAGAAAGTGGTGAAAAGTTTGGCTAACTTAAGCGTTTGCAATTTCCTATTCTCCAATCCTACTATTTGCTTTGCTTTTCTCCTATATCTCAGCAGAAAGTCAGACCTAGAATTACACTTTAGTTGAAACTTAACGCATACCTCCAGAGGACTGGTAAATGTAAATTTCCGCTCTTTGGTTGTCAAGAGTCTCAGCAACACAATACATGTTAAAGCCAATGGCAGTACTGCATACTACCTGCGACATCAGTAAAACAGCAATACATGCCCTTTACTATGCGCAGATAAACTCGTCTACTCCAATTGATGAAAGTTAAAAGTCAATTGACCTGCACTAACTCATTGTCGAGAAGTCTTTACCCAGTAGCGATGACCGATAAATTCCTCTGTCACAGTCTCAATCCAAATCGCGACTCCGATCGCCCCTTCTCTCAGACCTATTATCGATCAGTAATACACATGAAGAATAACTTTTCAACTTACCTCGAACACAGTCCAAGCTCAGTGAGATGCTCATCACCATCGAACCAAGCTTTGCTAAACTCCTTTTAATCCTACACTCTCCGGTTCAGCGGCGAGTCTTCCTCGTTGATAGCCAACTCTTGCAATCTCAAAGGCGAGCAGATGATATGCGTCTTTACACCTAACTCTTCGCCGAATTCAAAAACCGTTACATCAGCAGTTCGTTGATGATATGGCTCAATTCTTTTCCCTCATCTTCTCATAAACATAAACATCATCTTTATCCGAAAACACCTTTGTCTCAATGTAAGCTTTGGAGACAGGCCTGTCGCGAAAGTTTGAGCTTCCCGAGTTGTGAATGTAGTGCACTTCACGTCGTGTTTTCCACTTCCGTTGCGCAAGACCGCGAATAAAGGCTTGGGCGGAGGGAACGTGATAACCGTTAGCTGTATGAATGACGATATCGTGTGCTGAAGCTACTTCGGTGAGAAAATCTGTATCGTCGAGGTTTTTGAAGAAAAGAGGTGTCATGGGGAGGGATGATAGAGTCGAGGCTTGAGCTTGAGTGCGGACCAGGGCCGTGATGGGAAACTTTACAAGGAACGGGTTGGCGAGGATCGTGGTTAATACGCTGCCACCACTGAAGTTTTAAGTAAAGGGTCTCAAGGGATAAAAGGGGTCATTTACACGTAGCCCGTGGCGCCGGTGATAAGAATTCTCTGAGTTTCCATGTTATTTGTGGTTAGTAGGCTGAAGGTAGGGAGATTGAACTTGTGAGATCGTCAAGTATCATTCATCATCACTCTTTGACTAGGGGTAATGGGTATTTTATACTTTGGACAGTGGCTTCGTGTCACAAATCACATATACTGATGGAGTGTAGGGAGTTACCCAAAGGAGAAATCGGAGGTTGTATGGAGAAGGCTTCGGGGTTAAGGACCCGGACTTAGCAACACTGGATCCCTCGAGCGGATATAAATCATGGCATACAGACAGATTTGATGGAGTCTTGATTTGACAGCGTCATGGAGGCGTAAGGTAACAGGGTTGATTGGTTCATCTCTGTTCAGAGAAGACTCGCAACATAAACGTCCAAGAAACCAGCCCACGCCCTTGTCTTTGTCTGATCCCGCATCATGGCTGCCTCCTCATGGTTCCCATGAGGGTTCTCGCAATTATACTGCTTACTTTGATTGTACCACTTATAAATTATTTACGCAATGGACGTCTTGGATCAACCCTAAACGACTACCTTCGGCTTTCTCTTTTTTTTTCGCACAACCCACCGTGTAGAGACATCATATCAAAGGTATCATGTGCAGTTGAGACCTGTCATTGAAAACTTTTCATTCACCATTTATCAACTCCAGCGACTACTTGCTATTTCATGTCAGGAGACCAATCCTCTTAACTTTGGGCTTCAGCTGATGGGAGAAGCGTTCGGCTTTGCGCACCAGGAGACAGAGCATCTCACCTGCCGGAACGAGACCTTGGCCAGTCGCAATCAAATTCTCGTTCACTGAATGGCCCAGGCTCGTCTGACTATGTGCGACAATCGAGAGGCGATGGATTAGTTCCTTGCTGAAATGAGGGACTCCATTCTTGGTGAGTGTGCCAACTCTCGGGTATCCGTCGACATCGTCATCTAGGGTATCGACAGTGCCCTCATATGATAGGAAAGGAGGAATGAACATGGAAGGAATCAAACCAACTAATAACGTGCTCCAAATTTTGTCTGATGATTTAAGCTCTCAGCCACAATCTCAACCGTAAATAATACATCTGATGATTTCCCAACATTCGTTGCCACCTCTATCGCTGTCTGCATCGCCACCCTGACTACCATTTCCCTCATCAGAGACTGCAACAGATGCATCACTAGAAACCGAAACAGGAGCTGCTTCATGCAAAGCTTCAACAGGACGAGCACCAACATTGCGCTAGAATTTTTCTCGGCCACCTCCATTTTTCCTATCCTGCCCATCAGCGACAGCTTGTGGACCGGCAATAAGACCACCAAGTTCATCGACAGACTTCTTCATCTTTCCAGCAACTTCCAACAGACTAAGCTTGGTGTCGGCAATTCCGCCACTAGCAGCGATAGTGGTGAGAGCGATGACAGAGCACTTGGTGCCTTCAACTGCTCAATTAAATCAGTAAAGCATCTTTCGAGGTACTACACCCATATTACAACATGGGAAAGGTCATCTCGGGTAACCCGCTAGAGGGCCTCAGACTCGCGGGTGATGTTGCGCTCTCTGTCGAGGGTCTCTTCCTCCGCGATGTCTCGGCCAACTCCCACACCAAGTGCATAGGTCTCGAGCCAGTTTCTTCATCTCACTGATCGTGTTGAAGAAGGAAGCAGGTGAAACATGCTGGCGTGGGTAGGAAATAAAAAATAAAAAAAACAAGCGCAGCGCACGCCTCACCTCGCAGGAGGTTGAGGCTGCGTCCTCCAAATAGAGGTTGGGAGAAAAAGGCAGGATAGGAAAAATGGAGGTGGCCGAGAAAAACAAACTAGCGAAAGGAACTAGAATTGGTGCACTCCAATCCCACTTTTTTCTCTACTCCGCCTTTCTCCACTTCTGCTGAACTCCCATCCCCTCAGTTCAATCACCTCCAGCTTTTTATCCTAAACTACTTAGACTAAGACTTTTGGCAATAATGTAAAGACTGCAAGCAAATGGGACGATGTAGAACTGAAAGGTGACGGGAAATGAAATGGCCAAGTCTAGAACACGTGCAATGACACCCTGGGTGGATAGTGTTTAGAAGAAGTAAATCTTTCAGGGGGGAAGCCTCGCTCTGTATCATTAAAATCCTGATTATTTACGGACATGCTGTTCTCGATGTGTCCATACAGCGAATCTAAGCACCAACGCACGGACCCCACCTCTCCAAATCCTCAACTCTTCACTCCTCATCCTCCACCGTCAACATCACCGACAGAGAGAGCATCGCTGCTAACGACCATCATGGAGACAGGCGAGCCATCATCGCGTGGCCGTGAAGAGGGTAAGGCTCGAAATGCAAAACAAATATCATTTATCACCTCAGGCTAACAGGCTTTTCAGCACGACTCGATGCAGAGCCTATCGTCGAGCAACCACAGCGCATCTCTAACCCGCCAGAGCGGAGCCAGCGTGCCCCTGATGAGATTTTCGACATGTGGATGGACTATCTCATGACCAAGGATCGCATCGACGACAAGGGCAGAGCCGTTTGCCAGATGATCAAGACCAATTACGAAAGAATCCAAACCGAGATGCCGGCTGATCTAGCTGGTCGGCTGGCCCTAGATCTCGCCATTTTCACCAGGGACTCCTTGATGTCCGACTACGACATTCCCGAGCATAATCCGGTTTTTCAAAAGGTCACCGCCAAGGCCAACAGACGGAAAAACTCAACGGAACTCCTCGCGGTCACTTTCCCTCAGTGGTTCTTTCTGGCCGTTACACTCGGGGTCAACAACCCATCGCTTGCCCCAGTGAAGGAGTTCATGGAAGCTCACTGTGGATGTGAGTTTTCGTCAAATGACATCAACTTCGACTCCCTCCCGGCGGAAAAGTGTCATGAACTTTTCAGGGATTTGAAGAGCTTCGACTTGCCAGGGACACACCGGGCAGACGATAACATCGAATGGTCCGTAGACAGCGATGCTGAAACAAGCGGCGAAGATGGTGATGACTCCACCACAACCTCAGGTCCTGGAAGCGTTAACACGTTTGCATCCATCAAGAACATCCCCGGATCCCGAACACCTCCTGTCTTACCAACGCCGTCTAACGAGCTTGATGGACTACCGGACACCGATGTAGGCACCTCGGGGTCCAGTGTCACAGATGCTTCAGCAGCCACCGTTACAACAACCTCGAGTTGTATTGATGCTACCAATTTGCCTGGCGTCAGCGTTGGAATCATGGGCTCTGGTAATACAGATACATCAACAGCTCCTGATTCCGGAGGCTTGGGTGATCTCGGTAATGCCATGGCAGTCACCACGGAATTCGATGCGGAGTTAGACAGGGTTATTAGTCGATTCCAGGACGAAGCATTGGTGCTTTCTGAGTCACTTGCACGGGGGATTATCTCGTCTTCAACCAGCTCTGCTGCTCCATCCTCTGTTGGGGCAGTTATTCCGTCTACCAGCATTCTTCCCGAGTCAAATGACAACGCAACCGATTCTTCTATCGACATTACTACTGGGCCATCTACGCACAACCCAACCGACTCGTCTGCTGCCAGCGCGCCTGATGCATCTCCTGTTGGGGTAATTGTCTCCTCCACTGGCAACACGGCTAATTCGTCGGCTACGAACCAACCTAGCGTATCCCCCGGGACAATCATTCGATCTGCTATCAACTCTGCTGGGCCGTTTCCTGCCAATACTGCTAGCAACATACGTGGAATCTTTCTTGATCAGTCTTCCATCAATGATCGCATACGGGCTGCCCAAGACTTGATCGATTCGATCTATCAAGCACAAGACACTATGACCAGTTTGGAAACGAACTTTCAGTCCCTACGACAAGAGGTGAGTGATTTTACACAAGCGAAAACCCTCGAGATGAAGAAAGTTCGCGAGGACCTGCACGCCGCGCAGATAGGTTTTTTGTGTGACATTGAAGCACTCCGCAAACGACAAGACCGTCTCAAATCGATTTTTGATAAGATTCACACCAGATTAATCGATAAACACCGAGAACGGTTTAATGCAATCAAGGAGGAGATATCGGCAGGATACGAGCAGATGAGACGCTACGCAGGCGAGTTTCGCTCCGATATCAGGAAGGTTATCGACAACCACAACATCGTCCTGAACCAGGTAAAGCGCGTTGAGCGAAGTATCACCGCTCTCCAGAACAAGGTAAAGTACATTGAGAAAATTATCACCGCTATCCAGAACCAGGTAAAGCGCGCTGAGGAAAGTATGACTGCTATCCAAAACCAGGCTACAGGCGCTGTGGCAAGTGTCAATGCTCTGTCAATACGGGTATCCGTGATGGAACAGACACTTGCTCTGGTCCCAGCTCTGGTTCGGTTCTGTGCTCAACTAAGAGAATCTCTGAAGTCCTTTTCTGGCCCGAACCAAGAACTTGCTTCCAACAATGGTGGCAACAAAAGAACCGGTGAACAATCCAAACATGGCAATGGAAAGCGACAGCGAACTATGGAGAATGAAACCGAGTAAGCGGCAAGAGAAAACAAGTTTATTGGAATGCTATCCTGACCTCTGAGGGATATTGAAAGTTCCGAAACATCGACGAAATGAGAACTAGACTCTATTTCTGTTGCGAGGGTGGAGGGGCATTAGAAGTGCAGACTGGGAAAGGAATAGTGTTGTTACTGGCTCTAGACTATGTAACTGAAACCGCAATTGAGCTTGACAATTATCTGCGACTAATACAATTTGCACTATTGCACAAACATACATCCGAACTCCAGTAGTCGTCGCCGTAATTAGCAGTGATCTTTCACCGCTGACAATTGTGCGTGTAGCTGAGATCATTGCACGCCACCCCACAGATATGGAAAGTGGAAGGAACTCACTATTCGGCGAACAGGAATAAATTACCTTGCGAAACCAGTTACCCATGTTTCTGCAGTAGAATTGGCATACAGCTTGAAATTTGTTGTCCAGATCATCACGACATAAGTCAGCCGTCCATCCGTCCTAATGTTGACCGACTAGGACGAGTTAGCCGACTAGCTCACCTATGAGTTCACCAACTGCGTACTAGGTAAGTTGTAGTAGCCTCTACCCCTTCGCCCATGTCACTAGCTGGCACGATGAGAGGCACAACTCGCGAAACCTTAGTGACAATGCAGTCACATATTGATAGCGAGCAGAACTGGCATTGTTGCTCCGTTGAAACAATCGAGTCTGGGTCATGTGGCCAATCCATTTGCTAGCCAGATGGCTTGACCCAGTTACGGTATTTTCTTGTGTCCAAAGATTGGCTATGATGTCAATGAAAACACTCCTGTCGTCCTGCCAGTTTATGTTACCGTCTGGAAGTGGGATCGGTGCATTGCGACGACGGAGGACGACTAGCACGGCGATTGAGTGCTTCAGATTGGAATGAATTTTGAACAGTAAGGCCCTTCTTTACCCAACAATATTGCTGGCGAATGCGACCATTTCGAAGAAAGATTTTGAGTAACCACTGAACCACCCCTTTGCCGGCGAGTGAGCCACTGTTAAACACACTCCCAATGTGTCGGAATCAAGCGGGAGCGGAACAAATCATCTGCTGAACCAGGACTAAGTCAATTTCTAAATCGCCAGCATTACACGAGGATTGAAGCTGAGATTCAAGATTCTTAACGTGCTTTCGCGGTCAGTTGACTGGCCATTGACGATCTATAGTTGTCAGCCGATGGGCATTGAGATAGCTTCAACAAGAAGCATACTTTTCCGCAGGGTAGTCCGGTGTGTGTCACAGCATGATGCTTCAACTTGTCTACTCCCCCAGTAAATTTGGCACCACAAATACCACAGGGCAAATCATACTCATCTTCAATTGCAAGAAATTTTTCCATACCAGTGAGAATTTAGACGCATGCTCCTCCAAGCGTTCCGAAATCCTTTACCTACAACTTGTTGCTGTGAAAATCTTTCCATTTTTGATTTGACTTTTTTGTCCACGCTTCAGCTTGGTCTGGCCTACATGCTTGGACTGCTGTCTTTTTCCCAACATGGCTACCTCCTCGTGTTTCGCTTCATCGGCCATTGTCGTGGTGTTCTCATTTTTGGACAGCATCCACGCAGCTATAACCCAAGAGAGTCATCCCCTAACAAGAGCTTGCTGCCCGATCAAGATCTGCTTTTCGCCAGGTCATCAGCCAACCAAGACCTCGTCCTTGCCAACGGTGAAGCCAACCCTGCCATCAAAGGATCGGCGTACGATGCTGTAGAGTTTCTCTCTCTTGGTGAACCGAACGAAGACATGGAGCTGAATCATGATGTGAACGATGAGCAAGCGGCTGATCCGCCTCCGTGCTTTCCAGCCGCAGCCCAAGTCGGGGCAGGGGATTCACTCATGGTATAACGCTTCGATTAAAGCATGGCTCAGCTGGGGGAATCATAGGGTTTCTGACCATAAACGCCTACAGATTTCGTACACCAGAAGGCTCATGTTATCAAGCGCAACTCAGACCATCAACAACCACAAACATAAACAAGCGAGAAAAGGTAATCAACCAGGTCTGGGTCAAGAAGGCCTTACAAGCCTTCCCCAACGCCGACTCGCTTCGGGCCGTCGAAGGTCCTGGCATCCTGGGATCCCTCATATCCGTGACACCGAGTTGATGCCTGCTTCTCAGAGTCAGTCTGACGCTACCTCGGCGACCTGTAAGTTTTGTGAACCGTCATTCCTCAACGAGCGCAGCTGACGATATACTTCTTATAGCCTTATCTGACGCCTCGGTTGTCGTTTCTGTTGATGGATCTGGATCAAGACGCCGAAAGCGGCGCAGGAATGGCAGCTCAAGTCGAACCAAACCACCACGGGCCTCATCATCTGCGACTTCATCCTATTTTCCATCGACTTTGAGGTCTGCCGCTTTACCACCTATCCGCCCCGTTGACCTTGACAAATCCAGGCGCCCCTTCGAATTTTCACAAGTTTGATCAATCAGCCCAAACCCTCCAAGCTGCCCAATCTTCTGTACTGATTCGAGCTCTCAGCCACAAGTCTCAGCTGCAAATGCCACATCTCCCCCCGACCCACACATGGGGATAAGAGCAACATAGAACGCCCGACAGTGCTACTGTGTGAGCAGTCTAGTTGGCGTGCTACTTTAAGTATGCTTTTGAGAGTTGTTTTCCAGAGTCGATGGATCTGACCCTCGGGCCTCCCATCACGCACCTTACCTCAACCTCGTATCATGACCAGCTTGGAGCTTCCTGCCATCCACAGGGAGAATACCCTCTTGTGCAAGTCAGCTTAGGCAGGAAGATGAGTCTCGTAGTGTTGAAAGCTACGACGACGCTCAGTACGTAACAGTCGACGAGGCTGATGCCTCTAGAGTCATTCCAACTGGCACTTCAACGGTTGACGAAAACAGCTGGTTCCAACTGTATGAATGAAAGCCGCCTATAAAGTTAGGCTTTAGGCTGCGAACACACGTGATGAACGAAAACACGAGTCTATTCCAACAAGATGGCGAGCACATGGGTAAAGAGGACAATCTTGTTCCACAGAACAAACGACAGATGGCTACTATCACCTGACGAAGAACCCTTATCCAGCATGGAGATTTCCCTAAACATAGACCTCAACCAATGGTTCATGTAACAGAAAGGCAATCACAAGAAATACTTTGGAGACTATATCGGTCACCAAATCTCCTGGGAAAATGGTCGCCGAAACGCATCGATGAAGCCCATCTGTCAATTTGCATCTACAAGCGGACAAATCGGATACCACGTCAAGCCAAATGTAGTAGTCGTGATGGCTAGCCTGAACATGATAAAGAGGAAAGATCTGCCTGTCATCATCCCATTGCTCAGCTCATGACTTTGTGCGACAGAAATCAAGGACTTCGAAACTTGCAAGGCACGATGGACCTAGCTCTCATGATATCAACAACGAACATATCGTCGGAAAGTTGATCAATGCCAAGATGCAGAGAAGACAGCAATTCGAAACCTTGAAGACTCGGGACGATGAAACCTGTGCAGAGGTCATACATACCCAGCGAACTGGGACGTTCTCTCCATTTATCGGGGACAGATTGTCTCAAGCTGAGTACTAAGTTCTCTCTGCCGATTAAAGCTCTCAGCCAAAAGTCTCAATGCAAACACAACAACTAATTCTCTTCCTTGCTTGTCCTTGTTACCCTGCACCATAAAACACACCAGGCTCCAACTCACGCCAGAGCTTGCAGCAACTCCAAATACTCCCCATTCCTCCCCCACGCCAACGCCACACTCTCCAAAACCCTCCTCCCCTCCTTCAATATCCTCTTCGGCGCATTCGAAGAGTAAATATCCCCAACACCACTGATATACGCCTTCAACACGCCCGTCCTGACGAACAGTTGCACCATCTCATCATCATTAGGTCGATCCAGCCTTATGAACGTGGGATTCTCGTCATCCGATCGATCAGGTGATATTTGGCGCGTTACGCTCCCGCTGCGTGGTTCGCCTCCAGGTCTTCGCGATTTACTGCAGAATACGCTGTAGGCCCAGAGAGTCAAGGTCGCCCAGAACACACAAGGGGGTTCGTAGAAGGTCATTTTTGCGTAGCGGCGGACGTGCCAGAGGAAACAGCCGCAGTGTAACGCTGCAAGACGAGCTTTGGACTGTACTGATGTTAGCCTCCAACGAACTGCGAAAACGGACGACTTACTCCATCTTGCTGAGCCCATTCCGATATCTCCCGTTCCGCCTGCAGCGCCTCCTTCTGACTCGCAGCCTCTTTCCTCAAATGCTCCGGCGCCTTGAGATACTTCGCCAGCGTGATTATCGCTCTCCGTGGGACGAGCAGCACAACGCGAGAAAAGTGCAGATGCAGAACGGTAGGGTGCTCAGCGCCAAGTAACGACGCTATAGTGGCGTTGGCGGCCCAGTGAAGCGTATCAACGCAATCGAGAGCAGCGTTTCGCCAGTTTGAGTCCGAGAGCTGAAGGTGTTGAGTTTCGTCGCTGCGAGGTTCGGGGTTGTTCTGGGGGATCCATGATGAGAGAGGGCGCTTGCAGTAGGTGCTGACGGTGGTGTACTCTTGGTATACTGCGTGCAGGAGGAGGATGCGGGAGAATTCGCCGAGGTCAGGTTTGGCGGTTCGTTCGCGGAAGAGCTTGCTGATGGCAACTTCGAGTGTTGGGTTCGCTTGTAGCGTGTTAGCATGAGGTTTTGGGGGAGGGGGAGTGTAGCTTACTGTCAACGCGGCGATGGAGTTGTATCCAATCTGATGACGTTACTTGAGACCAAAGGCCATCGTGCGGCAACGTCAAGTCCGCAACGTTGAAAGTGCCGGTCTGATGGTCATCGAAGAAGTAGCGTCCCATGCGATCTAATAACTTCTGTGTGTCAGCCTCGATACTCAAAGACGAAACAGTGTAATCTAACCCAAATGAAATAGCACAGTCGACGCCAAGTCTCATCTTCAACCCAGCCTCGCCACTTATCTTCATCTCCCCCACCATTATCCGAAAACCCTTGTCGAGATTGGTAGGACGTGATGACTCTCTGCAGACTTCCCATCCTCTCGTGGGCAACCTTTTGAAGTTGACTACCACCAGAGTATAACAGACCAACTTGACTCAATACAAGAGCCTGAGCCAGCGGCAGGCTGAGCTCTGGTCCTTCCAGTTGAGTGACCAATGTCCTTCTGAGAAATTCGTGGAATGGTACGACGCAGGCGTGGATATCCGCCGTAGCTGAGTACTGGCTCCCGATGACGCAAATCGCCAGAGCAAGAACCCAGTTTCCGTTGAGGTCTGTTGTATGAGGATGAACAAGAGGGATGATCGGGTCGAAGTGTTCAAAGAAGAGTTTGACAAAGTACTCGAGTAGCTTCAGTGACGGAAAGTCAGCGGAGGCGTATGGCTGATGAAACATGGATGATTCGAGACACGTTTTTGTAAAAGCGTCACAGATCTTGCTGTACGTCAACTCTGTCATGAAGGACTCTCTGTACGCTTCGTCTTCGAGGATAATATGGCTCAGATCTGGGAACGAAAGCGGGTGGGCTTGGAGGCCTGAGTCTTGGGAAATGGTGGGTAGCTGCGTGTATCCTTGAAGGCCTGGCGGTGGAAACAGCTGCTTTGACTTGGCGGTGCAAGGACGTCGGGCACCGTTTGAGCTCGTGGCGTACAGATCTCCGGGTATGGTGCGTCCAGAACTCATACTCAACTGGGGAGAAACTCCAAGGCCGCTGCCTGGGGAAAGCGACGTTACGGCTGACAAGCGGCGTGGTGGAGCGTCGATCATGGGAAAGCTGGGAACTGGCTGATCTATCATAGTCGCGTTACCGGTATCGAGCGGCTGGGCCATATCAAGACCTAGGATGGAGTAGTAGTTTGTCTCGATCTCATTGTCGTACGGTAACCAGTTGATAGGGAAGTCCCAATCGATATCGTAAGTGGACAGGTCATAGTCAAAACCCGGTTGCTGCTCATTCACAGCACTGTCAATGAAGGGACTGTCTTGAGAATGCGGTGTCTGATGTGAAGGTAGCGCGAGCTGTAAATCTGACGGTACGTGCTGAGGCTGCGACGCGTGATCTATTGTCTCAACTGGGCTGATGAGAGTTTGGTTCGGGGTATGCGCAATGGCACCAGTTTGTGAGGCCGGGGATGCTCCGACTGTCTTATCTCTAGACTGGGGATAAGCGCATTCGAGTGCCCTGGTCGAGCAGCGCAGACACGGGAGATTTCTCGAACACTTCTCGCGTGCCCTAGCGCACTCCAAACACGCTCTGCGCCGCCCAACATCGCGTCTCGACATGGCGGACGGATGATCGTGGATAGCTACATGCTTCGTCAAGATATCACTTCCATCATATCAGTGCCTCTTCCATCAAACGACTCCGCGCCACGTACCTACGCGTGAAGCTCTTGTGACAGACATCGCATTCAAAACCCCTCAGGCTATCGTGGCTCTTTTGGTGTCGTTTGAGATGCTCCGGTCGCTTGAAGCTTCTTGCACACTGTGAGCATTGGTACTTCTCCATTGCGGAGAAGGTTTCGGACGTTTTTAAGCTTGTCGGAGCGTAATTGAAGTTGTTTTGTGAGGATGGTTTGACGCAGAGCGAGGTCGGGGACTTCCCCACTCGTGCATGGACACATCGGGCTAGCGCTGGTCTAGAGTCTGGGGTAAAAGTCACATCGGATGATCAAACTAGGCGCACCAATCCGTAAGAATTATGGAGTTTTTCGACCATCTCCGCTTCATTGAATCGGTGAATTGACGTCAGGTTTCTCGGTATTTCGGGGAAAGAAGATGACACACAATGGCGCAATAATTATTCTCTTTACTATTTTTGAGCCAACATATTCTGCAAGTCGAACCAATTACATCAAGTTAGTCGTTGTCAGTATGAATCGCGATACTTCGGATAGCATATATCCGTGAATGGAGACTCATCACGAGAGAAGCAAAAAAAAGGCTTTTCGCCGCTTTATCTAACCAGACCTCTTTCGGGCATCAGGCGACTGCTCAATCCACTCTCATGAGCACTTGACCGTTTCCCCTCTTTGAGGCGACTGGTCCCCGGTGGGAGCTCCGGTGGGATGTCCGGGCCTCCCACCACGAACTAACGGCATCCACCAATTGATCAACAATCGTCAGTGATGACTCGCATACAATTGTGAAAGCAGTATATCATGTTAAATCAGAACTATTTCTAACACCGAATTCAGCAATCTTCATCTCAACATATCGCCACCATGTCTCATCCCCAGTCCATCTTCCATCACACCACCTTAACACCAGGATCCCTCCTCCACCGTCGAAGGGCCACAGTCTCAAAGACAACACTGCACACGCAGCTCAAGAGACTTCGCGAGACAGGCCGCTACGATTGCTTCAAGCTGCAATGGCATGAGATCTACGCGGACAAGTCCATGTGGCCTGTCCCCTTCCATCTCTTCTGGGACAGCGACATAGCCAAGTGGATCGAG